TACTGAACGGATTTTGATGAAATTTGGAATACGAATAATCTTTTACCCGTGGGAAGCGCCATCATACGCTGGTAACATATGTTATATTTACTATAGTGACGCAACGGAGTCGCAAGAACAAAGAACGCAAGAATGTTTAGATGTCCAACAAAATACGAGCAAAAGATTGCTTAATGATTTATAAATAATTGATAAATTCACGCCACTTTTAAAAAAATATTATTTTCTTGATACTGGCGTGAATTTTTCAATTTAATTAATAATAATCATAAATAGGATTGGTACGTAAGTGTGAAATGAATAGAAGTGTAATAGGTAATAGTTTAGCCATGCCCCTAACAATGAAAATTATATTATATTATTTTATAAGTAGTAGTATTGTAGCAGTTTCACGAAATACTAACTTTTATTTAATATGACTTCAATGTCGATACAAATATCGATATCTTGGGTCACGCCCTATGACAATCCGCCATCGAAGAATTTGCATTTGAAGTTTAGGCATATACGCTTTTTTCGTAGGTATGGCCGGTCCTCTTCTTTTATGTCTATGGTTTTTATAAACGAACTGTCAAAGTCAGTGTCACCATTCTAATAAAATTAAAAGTATCGATGATCACGCTCTCTTTACAATCGAGTAATTATGTAATCGAGTAACTAGCAATTAAAATAAAAGAAACTAAATTAAACGATCTTCGTAATGATGATGCGACATATATATATATATAAATTGCGTAATTATAAATTTTAGGAGTAAGGAGTCTCTCCTTACTCCTAAAATTATTTCTATCCCTCTGACCGGGAGCCCCTTCCAGCTGGGGGCCCATGGCATTTTGCCGACCTGCCACCCTGTAGTTACGCCACTGCACGGTAGACTTTTTCAATTTCATCATCATCTTTTTGCGTTGCAAGAAAAAAAGCATTGGTACGATATCATTTAAATTTTCTTTTAATTTATTTTTCATATTCAAAATGTCTCAAAATAGAGCTCGATGGGGCAGTGGTTAGCGCGCTCGGTCTGCAATACGGTTGTTATGCAATTTATATTCTAAATTTCTTTTTGTTCACACTGCAATATCTTTTTTTCTGCAGTTTACTGCATAGACGGGAATCGGGCAAGCGGTACATTTCAGAAATGAGTTTACCGCCATTACAAGCAAAACGCTACCAACATACAAAAAGCAGAGTATAAAAAATACTAAAATATGGAATAAACCGAGTGAAACATTGGATTCGGCGAAATCAAATTAAATTGAATTTCGTCTGTTGAAATATTATCAAACCCTTTCACAGTAACGACTGCATACAATCGAATCTGCCCACAACTGTTGTGACATTTTTGTAGCATTTCTTAATTTTTTTGAAATTTACTGGGTGGGACAGAACGACCGACACTCCCGAGGTTCCTGGAGAGTACTATTTCTCTTTAATATGATTTAAACATAATATATGTCTAGGTCAAATAGTTTCGGAGATGGTAATTACAAAGTTATTGGAAAAAAATGAGTGTTTTCAACCCTGATTCAGCTGTTTTTGGGACTTACTAAGGAACAAGTTTTTAATCGGTCATTGACTTCTTCATTTCTTAACACGAAATAAACTATTTAATGGTTTATAAGACCGCTTTCATGCAAATTCTACCAGACAATCACTAAACAAGGCAGTCAAAATGCTTAAATCGATTGACAGACTAACAGCCGGTTTCTGATTTGAAAAAAGTAGAAAATCTCGACTGCTTATTCTCATTAACCTACGTTATTTTAATTTCACAAGTCAAACAGTCCTAGTTTTATCAAACTGCTATCAACTGATCATCAAAAAACTTATCGCAAACGAAAACTAAGTAATGTTAGTTAACTGTTTTTTAACAATTTCAAACTGACTATCACTAAACGAATCAGTCAAAATGATGAAATTAATTAAAAGACTAACATTTAATAAATCATTGTAAAAGATTATTCTAATGTTAACTAATTTACATTACATTACTACATTATTTCAAATATTCAGAGTTTCCAAAAAATTGTGGATCAAATAACATGATCATTTATTAAAGTAGTTAAACTAATACATTATCCATTAACATAAAGTACATTTGTGATAATAATGAACCATTATCACAAATGTAAATTATGTTAAACCACTAAGTAAGGGTTTGGTTACTTATTTAAAATGTATTTAAAAAGAAAATTCAAAAACAATTGCGTGGTAACAAAATACTAATTCGAAAATTAGATAAACTGAATTCGTCCCTGGTTATCGAAGGCAAAGCGAACCGAGTTCCATTCACTCATTCACTCGCCGTGCGCGAGGCTTTTTAGTTCTGTCGGCGTCGGCGCCTTATTTCAGTCACCGCCGGATATTTGCGCGTGAGGCACGTTACTGCATCGCTGCCACCATGCCGCTGCGAAGCGACTTTTTGACGATTTTTGTTTTGTTCTAGTGCATTTTTAATTAAATTTTTGTTAATAAGATACTACAGTGTTCGTCTTGAGTTTTAAGTTTAGTTTAGTGAAGATTGCGTTTAGTTTTGTGTGAAATGTGATGTGTTTTGCGCGTGTATGCACTGGCATGCAAAAGAGCGTGCTTAGCTGTCTTCGTATTACTTAGTTTTCGTTTGCGATTTTAGTCTTTTGATGATCAGTTGATAGCAGTTTGATAAAACTAGGACTATTTGACTTGCGAAATTTAAAGAAAAGTAGGTTATTGAGAATAATCAGTCAAGATTTTCTACTCTTTTCAAATCAGAAACCGGTTGTTAGTCTGTTAATTGATTTAAGCATTTTGACTGCTTTGTTTAATGATTGTCTGGTAGAATTTGCATGAAAGCAGTCTTATAAATCATAAACTAGTTTATTTCATTTTTAGAAATGAAGAAGTCAATGACCGATTAAAAACTTGTTCCTTAGTACGTCCCAAAAACAGCTGACTCAGGGTTGAAAACACTCATTTTTTTCCAAAAACTTTGTAATTTAATATCTCCGAAACTATTTGACCTAGACATATATTTTTTTTACATTATATTAAATTCAAATAGTACTCTCCGGGAACCTCGGGAGTGTCGGTCGTTCTGTACCACCGAGTATAGTCTCTTCAATCATCTTTATTTTTAAATGAGAAATACAGATTTATTATTATTTAGGAACCTTAATGTTTAATGTGTGGTTCCTACTTGATGATGGAGACAACTGGCCAGGGAGACTAAAGGGTAATTGTCTCCCTCCGAGCTAGGTGCTGTCAGCCCGGGGACCGCGGTCCAACCAATGTAGGTTGGATGTTCTATTTATGCTAATTGTTAATGAAACTTATTGTGGGCGATGTAGGTTTCTTTGTTCTAATTACCTTGTAGTTATTAATTTATGATGTTTGTATTGGTACAGCGCCATCTCATTACTGGGTGTTGAAACTTCTTGCAGTTCGTCTTGCTATCGATTGCTGTGACGATGCTAGTCTTCTCGCTATCGATTGTTGTGGCGATGTCAGTGTGATGAATTAGATGTCGCTACATATCAGTCGCCACAATTAAGTATTATTATTCGTTTCCTGCAAAAATCAACTTTTGCTAGAGTCGCCATCTAGTGGAGGTGATTTTTAGTGCTTTCTTTTTTTAAATACTTCGTCATTAGTACTACACTTAATACTCAATAAGTTTATTGTTTCCATAGATAATTTAAATTTATATTGCATAGTTTAGTCAGTCTCATCGTAAATCTGTGAGTCTCATTATGACCCCGTCGGCACAAAACCTATATTTTTGTAATAATTTAATATTAACAAAATTTAGTACCATTCAGATACAAATGTTGTGATAGTATAAGTACTAAATCCATGGATTGCTCAGAATAAAGACTAAAGGCCTAGTCCTTATTCTGGGGGAGACTACCGCACAGAACACAATTACTAGGGAGGACTATCGTCTGATACCCTATGTAGGTTTTCCTTCGACTTTTTCTTAGATCATAGCTTACTATTTAGATCGATATCTTAGGGGTATATCTATTTTCCGTATACCGATATATCGTTGAATACTTGTAGGGATGGGCAAATAAGATGTTTTTCGATAAATATTGTATCGATATTCTTCAAATGTATCGATAAATATTACCAAAAATATATCGATATATTGATATATCGCCAAGCCAGGAAAACATCATCAACACAACAAAAATTACATTATTCAAACAAATCAGTATTTATCTGATATTAACATCAGGGAAGTAGCTCGGTGAATTATATAGAGGACAAGCGCCGCGGCCCGCGATCGTTGTTGTTGTTGTTAAGCAACTTTTGCAAGGGTTGGTCACGGGATATGTGACCAAAAAAATATTATCTCGAGCTACTTCGTGCTTCGGAAGACACGTTAAGCCGTTGGTCCCGGCTGCATTTGCAGTAGTTAATACCCTCCAATCCGCATTGGGCCAGCGTGGAGGGTCATGGCCCATCCTCCTTAACCATCCATATGGAAGGCCTGAGCCCCTGCAGTGGGGACGTTAAAGGGCTGATGATGATGATGAACATCAGGGAGCACTCTTAGTGATATCAACCAAACCAACAAGCAGTATCATTGTCATAAAGAAACAAAAAAGACAAGCAGAATATAGACTGTCATTTCTAAACTCATACAGCCTACTGCCTACTTATTTTTTTTAATTAAAGAAATACATGATGCGAGGTATTAGCACACAGCAGAACTTTAAAAAATATATCGATTATGATACGAATTTGATATCTGAAAATAAATATCGAAAGCCGATATATCGCGGGAAAAAATATCGCTGATTTATATCGATATTTTTCAGAAAAAATATCAATATTTTGACGTATCGATTGTTTTTGCCCAATCCTAAACACTTACATCACTAGTATTGTTTTCGTATATTTCGCGTTTTTATATTTCTATACAAAGATACTCTATGATTTTTATCTGTGATTTCTATTAGAAGGATACAAAAAACCAGGAAAGGGTACGTAGTAAATTTTATTTATTTGTGCCAGATCGGCATATCGTGGCAATTTGTTTCCTTACCATATTTACTCTTGGTTCTAAAAGCTTGATAAAATCAGACTTATGTTGTTGTTGCAGCTGTAACAGAAAATGATGATCTCCACCGGTCTAGGTTCCCACAGGCCGCTATCAGGGCAATTATATAAATATACTAACGTTGTAAAGGGCTGGCAGCAGCGTTGGTTCGCAGTTGATCCAGAAACTGGAGTTCTATCATATTACCTTTATGATGGCCCTGGAGACACCATTCAGCCGGGACAGCCAGCAAGAGGAGAGGTACCATCTATTGAAAGGCATAGTATGCTCTGCATTGCTGACCTACAAATGAAAGAAAAACATAAACAGTTGAATCAATCCTGTGTAAATTGTATGAATCAATAAAAAATAGACTGCTTTTTATGTAGGCAGTAGGTTGACTTCCTATTTATCATTGAGAGATAATAACCAGTGTTTTATTGTCACTGTTAATGTTAACCAGCCAAAAATAACATGAAAGGTGTGTGAAACTTCTAAACCTGTGTAAACGACACTGGTTCCATTTATCTGTATTTCCAGTTTTTCTTGTTTCATAGACAGATGGATAAAAGATATATCAATTTCATTTTTATTTGGTTAATTTGTAATATTATTATTATTATCCTTTAAGGCACAATTAGCTGCAGCAGTAATATGCCCCAGTGATGAAGATTCTCGAACATTCACTATTAACTGTGCATCTGGAGATATGTTGAAATTAAGGGCCACTGATGCTCGGGCACGTCAGGAGTGGGTCAATGGCTTAAGAGCCATTGCTGAAATACATACTAAGGTAAATTATGAGATGACCAAATTTTATATCATTACTCTAAGATTATCAAGTGGTAACATTCCTAATTTTGTTTGTTTGTATGTATGATGTAATCTTTATGAAAATTCCTTAGGCTAAAGAATACTATACATGGGTAACATAAGCTATAATTTATGCAGGTAAAGTTGTTGTACAACAGCTTGCTTAACAAATAATGGTAATATAATATATATCTTTTATTATTTTATCACCCGAAACAACTAACTAGGTGGGAAGAAATATTGTACTTTGTAAATACACACTAACAGGGGTGCTGGATTTTAAGAAAAATTCATAGGTGCTCTTCGTTTTTACATGCATATGTCTACTTATCTATACATATATTTTAAGGAAGATTTCTTTTAGTGTATTCGGGTACACATTTTTTTTTTTAGGCACTTATTGTTGTCTTACGTATGCTATACTACAACTAAGGAACGCTAAAATGGTTATTACTTTTATTCTTATGATGGATATGATACTATTTAATTAACATGAGTGCTTCAGCCCATAGTGCCCAAGGAGTGCTGAGTGTCATTTACTATGTATATTAATTTAAATTACAGGCAATGGGAGCCAATCCACCCTTGCAACCCAGAGAGCAGTTGGCAGTGCATGATGCTATGGCTTCAGCAAGACAACAACTCCAAGCTACAGAACTAAGGTAATTTTATTCATATAAGATTATTCATACTCTTCTCAAATACTAAAATACTTTTTTGTAGGGGGTTAGTAATTGAACATTTTTTTCTAGAAAGTGAACTTTTCTACGGCTATAGGCCTTTAGATTAAGATCATATTTCAGTATTCTGTTCACTGAAACGCGCGTAATATTAGCCTGCAGAGCGAGTTATTGCATCAGAATTTTTCCCGTCTTAAAAAGCGAAATTACAGTTGCACGTAATTGTTTCGTTCCCTCCGTCACGAGAAAATATAAGCAATTGAATTTGCGATACAAATTAACTAAAAATTTACATTCCAAATTCAAAATCGTTAAAAAAATGACAACCAGTAACAGTTTATTTTATTTTTTCAGTAAAAAGTTCAAAAAAAAAAGTTTGTCTCAAAACTTATGAACACGACATAAAATCAATGTGTGAATTTAGTTTTTAAATGTATTATGTCAATAAGAAGTTATTATTTATTGTTAGTGTAACTTGATTAACAAATATTGTTGTGTTTGTTGTCCGAATGGTCTATTGAGACATTTCATATAGAAAATATGTGCAGTCATGCGCCTAATTTAGAGTGATCATTTACATAGTCTCGTTCATGAACAACATAATAACATTTTATAGTGATAATACTTATATTTCAGTGATGCTGCACTAGCAAGATGTATAGAATCATCGGACTCTCCATTCCCGCACACGGATCCCGATTTGTTACTCCTGAAGGTAAATAATGTTTCTAGTCCTATTAATATTATAAATGTGAAGGTTCCTTGTTTGTCCATGAATGTTTGTCCTTCAATTTCGCCGAAACTACTGAACGGATTTTGATGAAATTTGGTATACAGCTAAATATTTTTCTAGAGACCACGCGGAGGAGGCCGCGGGCGAAAGCTAGGAAATAAATAAATAAGCTTACATATCTACTGACGATATGCTACATCAAAATATTCCATGACAATCTGATCGTTCTTCGGCACAGACCTCCCCTATAGTTTTCCAAAGCCGTCGGTTCGTGGCCTTCCTACTCCGTGCGCTCCCGCCGCTACCTTTATTCACGCCCTCTTTTCCCATCCCTACGGTACCGCACGGTTGATTCTGTGTCTCAATTTAACCCCGAGCCTGCCTCTCACCGGTCTGTTTCGATGTACTAGTAGAGTTTTCCTTTGCATTTCTGTTAACGGCCACGTCTGGCATCCGTATGCCGTGCGCCGCCTGGCAGTATCGGTAATGTGTGCGCAGGCGACGTCGGCGGCCAGCATGCAGGTGCTGCTGCAGTGCCTCGGCGTGCTGCACCGCCAGCTGCACGCCGCGCTCAGCTGCCGCCGCGCCGACGCGCGCCCCTAGCCTGCGCGAGGCACTGTACACGGCAGTGTACGCCACTCTGTACACGGCAGTGTACGCCGCGCTGTACACGGCGCTGTACGCCGCCCTGTACACCGCCGCCTCTGCTTCATGTCGACCGTCTAAACCGAAAAAAATTTTGGAACGGTCCCCTAGTGCTCGAAGAATTTGCTGTTCGTGAAGATCGAAAGGAATGTTGTGATTTCTCGAGAATATCAACTGTTCACACTAATATGTACAGCACTATCCAATCCCAATGTGTCCTACCATTATGCAAGCAGTACGGTAATTAGGTACATAAATTATATAATAAAATAATCCCGTTTGCTAATTAATTTATCACATCTCTGTGATAAAATTAAATCCAAAAAAAGCTTGCTTTAAAAATATAAAGTTTTTCTATTTTATTTTATTATCTTTTTTGTATGCAATTATAAACTTTTCAATTTAATCTTAATAGGGATAACGACAAATTTTTATTTGTTTGTCGGTCAGGTAGATGATTATTAATCACTTATTATTTTCCGTGATTATTAAATTACGGCAATACATTAACTTAAAATGTCGCATGACGTCACGCTTTTGTGCATTTTCTACAAAACCGTGACATAACGAGTCACCACTTCTCAACTTCAGTACCTATTCTAAGCTATTTCTTGTTAAATTGAATTAAAAAAAAAAGTATCTAATACTGTTCTATTGTCTGACTGATGGATTAATTAGAATTTGTGTTTTTTTACCCTGTCGTCATCCCTATTAAATCCCTAGCTGCTAGCTTGCTTTAACTTAATAAATATACTGTGGTAATATTGCCTGTATTAATCCCGGCGGCATTTATTGCTACCAACTCTTCACATAATTAATATCGCATAGGTAGGTATCAATTTACCTAATGATCTCGTAGGTTTTGTTATTAAGACTTTAGATATTTATAGATTGCTTAATAGTAAACCCACTTTTGAGTAAATCGATTTAAACCTGTAGAGTCCACAGTCAATTTATAATACCAATTTGAAAAAATATCATTTTGACTGATTTTGTTTCACTATTGGTTGTCACCCGCGGGTGACATCAGCGGCCCTTCACTATTGACTACGTCACAGTTTTGTTATATATTGATAGAAAAATCATAATAATGCTAAATTTATATTAAAAAAAAAACATTTTGTATGTTAAATAAATTTGTATTTTAAATTTGTTATTTTTGGAATTTAATATTCACTACTTATTTTGTTATAAAATCTTTGGTTATAAACGATTAGAAATGAATGGAAATCACGATAAATTATGTAATAATATTTCATACTACATTGTTTAGTTTATACTATAATAAATTCTTTATCTAATTTCTTGTTTCTTAAAAACATGTAAAAAAAAAGTTATTTTTACTCTAAGTTGTGAGTTTATGTAAACACAACCTCACGTCAAGTTACCAAAATATAAAACATGTCAAATTTCGGCAACGGATTTTAACCTCTACCCTCAATTTATTTAATATTAAGGTAATCGAGTGAGGAAATTGACAGTTTTATATAGGGTATGTTCCGATATACACTGCGACCACTGAACAGTATGACGTCAATTTAGTATACTGGAAGCCCGTTCCTTTATAGCTAGTTATACTGGTGACTTTTTAAAACGGAACGCAGTCCAGTATATTGTTAATCCCATTTTTTGGCGCGATTTTCAAATTTGTTAATGCAAGGTGAATATAAATATAAAGATTCCCTCTTTTCAAAAGAAAATTGGTAAATTGTAAAAAAAAATATTTATCAATTAAATCCATCTTATAAATAAACGTAAGTATTTTTTTTTATTTATTTAGAAACTTATCATTTTCTGATTCTGTTTCGACTGATCACGTGATCAAAAGCACTGCGAGCACCTTACCTCGAAATCTCCAGTGCTCACAGCACAAAAATGGCGGCAATTTATGGCGTCATAAATTTCCCTAGGGTACTGTAGCAGTGTACTGGCAGTCCATAACGGAACGGATTTTTCAGCAGTAAGACCACTGCGCAGTGCTCGCAGTGTATATCGGAACATACCCATAGTTTGACGTGCAGTTGACTATACATCATATTTCTTAAATAAAATTAATAGTCAATAGTAAATTATATAACATTATATAATCTAAGTAGACAGACAGTCATTCGAAATGACTCTACTTGTACCCCGCTAAGGTCCAATTAAATATTTTGTTTTAATAAGATGATCAATCATTGGCTCCACTTTATACCTACATCTTGTCCGCGGAGCGTGATGAAATTGAGGGGTCTAAATGTTCGTTATTACTAAAGAGCAACCATCTATGTATATTTTTATTTATTTATTAGGTAACACAACAGACATTAATCAAAATTTATATGAAAAATAAGTAACAACTGTGTAGTACTAAATTAATATCCTAAAGGTGTTTACACAATGAGATATGATAAAAAAAAAAAGAAACTATTATTAAACTATATTGATTAAAAGAAAATGATTTATTATCGCAGATGTGCTGCTGCTTCCACACTACATTAAGATATATATAAATCGACTATTTATAAAAAAAAGGTGGGAAATAGCCTATCCTACTAATATCATAAAGGCGAAATTTGTAGGTTTGGATATTTGTTACTTTTTCACGCAAAACCTGCTGAACAGATTTTGATGAAATTTGGTATCCAACTTAAAAAGTTCCCTAGCGATAGAAGTACTTCCAAAGGCGCCTATTTTTGTGAACGCTGCTTAAACGGTAAGAGATATACGAACGAATGCCTTTTAAAGGAAAAAAAATCGCGATGTCATATAGCTATGTGCTTAAGGTTTTGCCACAAAAGAAAAAAAACTTCGTATAAGTGTATTTAAATTTTTTGTCTGTTTTTAGGCGGTTATTTGAGTAGGTGATATTAACAAGGATTTAATACCACCTACTCAACTAAAAATCCTTACTTATAAAAATTATCTTTTACACCACATAAATTGGATGAATAGTTTAGATTTTACTACGATGGTTTTGAGAAAAGAAAGAAAAATTATATTGCCGATTTTCTAAATACTATGTTGTTTGCATATATCTATATTACTGTTTACCAGCATTTTTTTAAATGTATACGATAACATGTAAATTTATAAAAACTAGAAATTATATTATTGTGTTACTTAAAAAACAAATAAAATAATTAAAGCAACGATAAATAAACTTTAATTGAGATACTATCGAGAATCATACGGAAGCGAAAAGCAAAATGTCAATTCATTTAACAAAAGTAAAAATGAAATGAGAGATATTAGATATACATATTTATTATTAGTGAAATTATGTTTACTTCTTGTCAAAATACATAATTTCGTAGCAGTTTCTATTTACAATAGGGAATAATAAAAATACATTAAACAATAAATATTGTGTGCGATCTCAACACGACCCAACTCAAATGTACTTGTCGACAAGTGCTTATTTGTTAACGGTAGTGATTCGCGTTTCTGACCCATGGAACACCAAAGTGGTTCACCTAGGTGTTCCACTGTTAACTTTTTGTACCCCTGGATTACCTAGGTGTTCCATGGTTAATTTGGTTTACCCTTGGTTCACCTAGGTATAAATTTTCTGTGGATACTCTTTTCGCTGATCTACTTCTACGGCTAACTTTTTGCAACTTTAAATATTAAAATCTATTGGATTATTTCTACACAGCCAAAAATGCCGTTTAAAACTTTCTTCGGGTGTAGGAAAATGATGGGAATCGAGACAGCGCATCCTTTTGTCCTCTACTCATGTACTCGCCAATTTTATAATGAAAACATTAAGTGTATTTAAACAGCATCACCGTACGAAAAATGTCACCGAAGGCTTCAATGCCAAATGAAACCGAGCGCTAAACAAAAACACAGTGACATTATTTAGACTTTTATTTTTTTTTAGAAAAAATTGTATCAGTTGCACCTGCTGATAAAAATTCCTATTTAAAAAAGAAAAATAATTCTCGAAAATGATAACTATATTCTTATAGTTATCATTTTCGAGAATTATTTTTTTAATTTATTTAATTATTTTCGAGAGAGTTATCAGATGTTGAGAACAACATACAAATGCAATTAGTTAATAAAGAAATCACTATAGTGAGTGCATTAGGAAAGCTACGTAATTAGGCGATTCTTTTTTATGCGTACCAAGCATTTGACACCATATATATTAATTAAAAGTAGACAGTACTGAAGTCAGTTTTCTGTCTCATATTAAGTTGTTACATTACCAAAACAGATTTCTTTCTTGTTTTGTCCTGAAAATCTTTAATTTTATCAATTTTAAAATTAAGTTCGACGCGCGCACCGCACCAGGCCCGGACGGTATTCGTCTGGAGGACTGGAGAGCAGTTCCTGCACAGTCGAAAGCGGAAACGTTCAACGCGTGGATGACCGAGGGGGAAATACCCGAGAGACTGCGACAGTGCCGCACGGTTTTCCTGCCGAAGGTAGAGGTGCCTGTGACCCCCGGCGACTACCGACCGATTTCTATCGCGTCGGTGCCGTTGCGTCACATGCACGCACTTTTGGCGAGAAGACTGGTGGCGTGTAGCCCCCCAGACGTACGACAGCGCGGATTTATCCGTGCCGACGGCACCTTGGAGAATTCCATGGTGCTGGACGCTGTACTGGGGGATAGCAGGAGCAAGTTGCGGGAATGCCATGTGGCGGTCCTAGACTTCTCTAAGGCGTTCGACACGGTGTCCCACGGGGCACTGATCGAACTACTTACTGCAAGGGGTCTGCCGCCGGCGTTCTGCAATTATGTGTCGAGGTTGTACGAAACGGCGACCACAGAGTTTGCCGTGCCTGGACAACCGAGACAGATAGCGCCTGTGAAGGTCCGTAGGGGAGTCCGTCAAGGAGACCCATTATCGCCGGTGCTGTTTAACGTCGCCATGGACGTGGTTCTGGCCAATCTTCCGAGCGAGGTAGGCTATAGGCTAGATGGAGAGCGTATCTCGGCTCTAGCCTACGCCGATGACCTCATCCTGTTCGCAGGATCTAAGATTGGCCTTCAGACGTCCATTGATCCGGTGTTCGCTACCGGTAGTACAATGGGTCTTCAGCTCAACCACGCTAAGAGCTCCGTATTGTCTATGGTGCCGGATGGAAAGCGCAAGAAGCCGCACTATCCCACCGACCGGTGTTTCCGCATCGGCCGGCGTTGGCTTAGGCAGGTGGACTGCGCTGAAAAATGGCGCTACCTCGGCGTTGACTTTCAGTCTCCTGGATGCGTCACGTTAGAGCATGAAATCAAAGGAGCCTTGAATAACATCACAAAGGCCCCCCTCAAACCACAGCAACGGCTGGAGGTCTTGAGGACGCACTTGTTGCCTCGTTACTACCACGCCTTGGTGCTTGGTACGATAACGGACGACAAGTTGCGCATGCTCGACGTGCAAATCCGGAATGCAGTGAGGAAGTGGTTGAGGCTCCCTGGCGACGTCCCTATCGCCTACTTCCACGCAGCGACCAGGGATGGCGGGCTTGGGATCCCCTCGATGAGGGCGGCGATACCGGATCTCATCTCTCGGAGATTCGGGCGGCTTGCTAACTCGAAGTGGGGTCCGGCGATAGCCGCATCCAGATCCACTAGGATCAAGCGGAAGCTGCAGTGGGCGAAGAGACAGTTGCGGAAATTCACTACGCAACAACCTGGGAATCCCAGCGAGAGGGAGACACAAGGATACTGGCGTGAAGCCCTGCACGGCTCGGTGGATGGACTCGAGTTACGCGAGTCCAGTTCATGCCCTGCATCCACTAAGTGGATCAGGGAGAGAGCTATGCAGCACACGGGCCGTGACTTCGTGCAGTTCGTGCATTGTCATATAAACGCGCTCCCTTCGCGCGTGCGCAATTCTAGGGGGCGCAGGGGTGGTGGAGTTGAGTTAAACTGCCGTGCGGGCTGCACGGTCAGGGAGACGACTGCTCACACCATCCAACAATGTCACAGAACACACGGGGCCCGTATTGAACGCCATGACTTCGTGGTCAACTATCTCGCTGGTTGTATGACCGAAAAGGGTTGGAACGTGGTGCGGGAGCCGCGGATAGCTACCTCTGCTGGGCTCAGGAAGCCTGACATCATTGCCTCCAAGGACGGCGTCGGTGTGATCGTTGACGCACAGGTCGTCTCGGGTCAGCGACCGCTAGACAATGCTCATCATGAGAAACGACGTAAGTACGGTTCTCATGCTGAGCTTGTACAGCTGGTGGCTGACAAACTGGGACTTCCCGGAACTGAGTGTGTCACGACCAGCACTTGCACGATCTCTTGGAGGGGGGTGTGGAGCCCTCAGTCATATTCTGACTTGAGGTCGATCCTTCGGCTGAAAAGTCATTGCTACGAGCAGTTGTCCTCGATGGTCCTAAGAGGCAGCCACATGGCATGGAGATGGTTTAATCGGATGACGACCCATCGCTAGGGGAGAGCGGACGGGACGGGGATCGCCCCGACCTTGTCTGTGGAACTGGGCCACCTGCCGAGGCCCATTGGGTCCCGCGCAGCAGTCAGTGGCGCTTGCGTCGCTGCATCTTCGTGCGGTTACCCGACCATCTGGGACCCCGTTGATTTTATCGGCACAATGGCCAGCTGGCTGGATACGTAGATCAGGGGCAGTCGCATGACGGGTAACACCGACCTGCCTCTGCATGGGCTTGTACCGGACGTCTGCGTATCCCGTTAATCTCCAAAATGGCGGCCAGGCGCATTAGCAATTTGCAGGGATTATTTGATGGCTTTGACAACAATGTTTTTGTTTTTATAATTTTGCAATCATAATAATCCACGCAGTTAAAAAAGAATACGTTAAAAAAGTGAAATTAAATAGAAATATAAACTGAGTAAATGTCAATTTGATTGAAACCTATAGTGTGTAGTTCGTTTGCCTACAAATATGTTCCATTATTTGTTCTACTTTTTATTTTGATATAAAAAGTAAGTATGTGTTTCATACCTATCTTTACACTGGTAGGTGTTTTAGAATCTAACCAGACCAATGCATAACTTGCCTTTTTTAACTATGTAGTTGGACGTCAAGTGTCGACAGTTTTTTCTCTTGGGGTCCATACATAAAAAAGTTTGTATACATTAGTAATTTGACGTGACCCTATAGTTTTTAAATAAAATTATTTATTGTAAAGATTGTCATTGTTTTTTAAAGCAGTCATTTTGACAAACATCTGCTTTTCTATCCCATACAACAGAGCTGTGACCGAAATTGCAAAATTACTGATTAAAAATGTGTGATCAAGAATTTAGGACGCTTCGAATCGATCCGCGATATCCATTTACAAACCAAACAAAGTGGGTGTTTTCATATTACTTGCAGTGTTTTGTATGAGTAATTTTAGAATTACAAAATTGTTCATTTTTTCAGTTAGATTTTCGATTGGAATATAAAGAAATATGCTTAAAAATACACCAGTCCCAGATGCCCGACATGGAATTCGAACCCGTAAAATTCGGGGAGACTGCTCTAATCATTGAGTCATCCAAGACTATGGGGAATTGCTCAATATTTTTTTTTTACTTCAAATTGAAAAGGATACAGTAGGGAATCGTGGCAAGCTAGTAGCGCTATCCTATTAGTTTTTGAAATATTTTTTTGATCCAATTTTTCGAAGTAGATTATTTAACCTATAGCAAAAATAACCTATATCTGATCACATTAGCTATGTTCCGCATGCCGTGGAAATACATAAATCTATTACTTGATTATTCAAAGACATAAGTAGGTACTATTGTCTCTTTAAATCATGTCTTGTCTTCATCTCGTATCCACAGTTAACTCCACGTCAGTATGCTACATAAGACTATTTTTCTGTTTAGTCCAGGGGCAATGCTAAATTGAAGTTGGGTCAGTGTAGAAAATGAATTTTTGTATATTGTCTCTAGCCTGGCTGTTGTGGTACCTTCATTCGTAGTTTTGAATTTCCATAATACAAATGCTCAAAGCTACTTAAAGTAACGATTGCGATGGTTAATTAAAGACATGAAATAAACATATTTCTGATAATTAGGTATTGTCCCGCCAATTCACTCGCGTTTTTTCCTTATAATATTAGTATAGATGTAGAAATACTTGAATATCAGAATTCATCAGATCTTATATCAATCCCAAATTAACCCTTCATCTGTTCACAGTTGAGTTTTAATATGGCTTCCGCAGAAACTTGCGCTATCACAGTAAACTGACGTTACAATCGTGAACTCTCAGCTTTCTATTTATCCAACTTTATTGTTATAGCTTGCTTGAATGAGTACCTAGGTAATGTTATTGTGTATGATGTGTAGGGCGTGTTACGACAACTACTGCGACTACTACAAGTGTACCCGGCTCCTGGGCGAGGTGGACGACTGCAAACTGTTCAAGCGGTATTTCGAAACAGTCTGTCCCAACGCTTGGATCTCTCACTGGGACGAACTGCGGGACAAGGGTGCCTTTCCTGGACCCATTTAACGACATTCTTTTTTGAGAATACATATATTTTTTTTATTTTTACTATTTCATTTTATTTGACATACCACACCTTTACTTCCACATTCGTGATGCAGGATATTTCCGTATTTATGTATGTATCTATAGTCTTATACAGGCATAAGAGTACAGGTGGGAAAATATCTCTATTGGGATACCATTAGAGATAATTTTTAACCTAAGCGAAGATAGATAGGTGATCAATGGTTGTAATTTTTTTGGTCAATGAATTAAAATAAAACGTTCTTTACAGTAGATATTGACTGTATGTAATCAACATAATAGATAAAAAAATACGATTTAGATTGTGACTATGGACATGTTACAGCATTCCCTCTTCATACAATATAATAGGGACGCGTCGACGGATTTTTCTTTATTTCAATTTAAAAAGAACTAGCTTAGACAATAGGCATTAAAGTAGAGGAGTGGGGGGCTCACTAAGTCCCAGTTCAGAAAATGTACAACAGCGTGACATCATGTCACATTTAAACTCAATGTATCGCCGTAATTTAAGAATTACGCAAAAAATACTGGTTTAATATTTTTCAACAATCTACCTGACGAACAAAAAGATAGTCGTGATCCCTATTGCAGTAGTTACTGTCAGGTTCTACTTTATAGGTAAGGCTTTGTGACTAAGATTAGAAAACGATTAGCCCCATACTACTTACTACCATCAACTTAAGCTTTATTTAGTATGATTCCGAGAAAAATAACAGCGAATTATAAGTTCTAAAATATGCTTTTAGCATTTTGACCATGTTTTAGATATTGGATTAATTCTAAGTATTTTAGCAGAGACGAAGTCTATCATAGCACAAAAATTATGTAAATGAGTGATAAAATTTAAGATAAACTGACCACAGTTTATCTTAAATATAGTAATAAAAATAGTTTAGATTTAAATATGGTATGATGGGGGTTTGACATGTTCAAAAGAATAAAAACCTGTTAAAGATTAAAAAAAGACCATATACATACAATCCAGTGGACTACAAAATATTTAAGGAATGTACCTACATATTGTAATAACTTTATTAGCTTAAATCAAACAATAAAAGTATAATATCGAATCAACTCATTTATTTCACTAAAGTATCCTGATTTAGCTAAGTAAATCAAAAATCATAATTAAATAACAGTTCACGTTTGCGGAATATTTGCATTACTATTAAATCCTGCCAGGGAAGGTGCCTTCTGCGCGCTGGGTGTCCCATTTTTCCGACCACTCGTTGGGGCACAGTGACCTGCAAGATATTTTATACACTATTTATTGCTAATTTCGATGAAACAATGAAGACTTACTGAACAGTGGCGATGTAAGTTCTAATATGGATAGGGTTTTCATGCAAGGATTTTCAATAGGCTCTATCCAGAATATTCGGTTATACAATAAAAAAAAGTTTAATGATAAATTTAAGAAAATCATTATGTTTATGTCGTAGCAAACTAGTTAAAGCAGCTGTTCGATTGGGTGGCTAGCCCAATTAATAGAAGGGAGCCATTCAAATTGAACCATTACGACTGAACTGAGACTGAATTGAGAACTGTTTTAACTGTTTCAGTCTCCTTTTATATTTTAGAAACAAATATATGATATTAATTTTCTAGACTTCATTAAAGGTAATCTCGGCTTTGAAGCTTAGTAGTGAAGCCTGATAGAATAATCATAGCAAACACTACAAAACAAGTTTGAGTTTGGCAACTACTAATAGTTTATTGAAGTGACCACTTTAACGTTTTCTTATCAGCAATTAACCAAACCGACGAATTGGCGATAAAAGGAGATTTTTAAACTGAAGACATAAAGAATTACAGTTCTCAAATTTAGTTAACTAATCCTTTAAATGTCTACCTTATCAGTTTGTCCCTATTTGGCTAAGATATATTGGCTCATTTATTTAATATCTTATGAGTTATGTATGACTCATTTACACCAGTCTGTAGCTGCATGCGTAGTACTATCAATTTAAGTGGATTAATGACCGAGCAAAGAAAATTGGTCACAACAATCAGTCCCCACACAATGAGGACTTATAGACTGATCCTGAAACCGCATAAAATGTAACACAGAGCTTTCTGTATGAAGTACACGCGTTAAGCCAAATAGTTTTATTGAAGCATTCTGAGTTATACGAATGTGTACCTATCGTTTATTGTTACCTCTGAGTAGGAGCGTTCAGTGAACTATAATTAAAAAAGAGTTAACGATTCAGAAGTTGAGTGTCGGAAATAGAATATTATAATTACCTATAGACCCGCTTGAAGTAATAGCAGGGTTCGTACTTCTCACCTCGAACCTTCTGGCACCGGTGGAAATCCAAGTAGCTCTGGTAGCAGTGTCTGTGATATAACAATAGATGAGACTAATGCTGGCTGAGGACCTTGCCGCCTTATCAAGGAAAAAACGTAAAACAGGAAACAAGCAACGGAGTTAACCACGTGTCTGTTAGGGGGCATCCATAAATTACGTGAGATGTTTAAGGGGGGGAGGGAGTCGAGTCAAATCTCATCTAATCTCACGTTGGAGAGAGGGGGGGTCTCGGCAAATATCACGCAATTTTTAAAATAAGGCTCGGTGCGGGGAATCCCTCATAGAGTGACAAGTCTAAGGTTAAGATCATTCACTAATTCGTTGGAAAGAAAATAATTTCATTCGTACTTTGACATTATACATCACTCCTGATTGTCAAACCACTATACTCGTTTTATACCAAATAGCTCAATTTAATTTGAATTTACGGTACAATGTAGCCCGTCCTTTGTTTTCGCGCCACTGTCAGCTGAACGTGTGACTCGATGAATAAGAGCAATATGGATTACTAGTCTCTAACTAGTCGTAAATAAAAGTACGAAGCGAATTATTTTTTTTTTCTTTTTATTAAAAAATCCAACGTGTTTAAATAAGAAACCCACTTTTTGAAAAATCTCACGTGAGATTTGGGGATGGGGGAGGGGATTGAATAAAATCTCACGACATCTCACCAGGGGGGGAGGAAGGGTCAGAAAATTTGAAAAAACACCTCACGTAATTTATGGACGCCCCCTTATCTAATAGGTACAGTATAGGTTTTGATTCACAGGTTTGTCAAAAATATTTGTTTTGTATATGCGGTTCTGCTTTCACGTTGTTTCAAATTGAACATTATAAAGAAGATAAATTCATAATAAATACATTCAGGGACGGACCTACAAAAGGGATTAAAGGGCTTAAGCCTAGGGCCCTGTGGATACCTCAAACCCCAATAAAATACATATATACGGTACGGTGCTTTACATAAAGTACTATTGAAAACAGTTTCTTAACAAAATTACAATCATTTCTGTAATCAATAGGTCCCTGATTAGTATTAGCCCAGGGTCACACAAATTCACGATTCGCCCTTACATGTATATAATGGTACTTTGTTCCTGAATGCAGACATTTATTACGACTCACCCTACATCTGCCTTAGTACCGTACATCTAATGAATTGAATCGTAATGATGGAACTGTTGATATTTTCAATAACAAATTCTCACAATATAAAAAATTAATATCAGATATTTTTTTATAATAATAATATAAACACAGCGTAATATTTAAATTTACTTTATACTAAAAGTTATTAAAGGATCTGTTCATGTTGTGTGCACTGTTTCTAGATTATAGTCTAGTCCAAATACTTTAAATATGTTTGTAGGTTTCTCTATTGATTATGACCTGTTTGTGTACCATTTATGAATAAATAATATAATATAAGTATAAAGTTCTATATGCATTGTAGAACATATAGAAAACTTAATTTAAACTTGTTCTTCCAGTGAAATGTGTTTATGTCAAGCACACTAATAGGGCAGAGACAGAAATCGACGACAGACATATTATTTACAGACGCTTATGCGTCATGATTTTAAATTTTATTCTATAAAATTACCTAATTTCTATAAGCATCACTAGGCACTTTTTTTTTAACATCTGGTAAACCAAAATTTTCAAAAAGACCATTGCTTGAAAGGAGAAATAAATTCATAAATAAATGGGTTGTTTTAAATGATTGCTCTCATAGTAAGAATATTAATATCCTACATAATTATTTTTCATAAAAAATAGAAACCATATTTTTGCAGTATCTGTACAAGTTGAGATCTTATTCGTAAAAATGTAGCTTAAGCTAATGTTGACATACACCTTTATCCAGGTCCTTGCTGTTGTTGGGCTTACTATAATATGCTTAGTTCATATTACCTTGTCTGATTCTGATTAGGGAAGCGCGGGTCGAAAGGTGCGGTTTTGATGTCGGCGGGCGATTTGATCATCTCAGGCATTTTGCTGCAAACAAATACACAGACATTCACTTTCTTAAAAGTCTTTATTCCAGAAACCTGCTTCACAGTAAAAATAAACTAAACGGGATGTTTACATAATGATGAGATAAACACAACTTATAGTAAATATGAAATATTGTTAATAATAACTCGTAATTATATTAAGAGGTCAACTTAAAAATCTTAAGCCTAATTTCATTATCAATTAGTTATTTCACGAGGGGACGTGTTTTTCTTTCCTCTTCACACGAGGTTTCTCTGTACTTCTTCACTTCCTGCATATAAAGTGACCAAGCGTCTTTTGGCGTGTTGTCAACCGTTTGCTCGTCAATAGCCTTAGCTTTTTTAACCAAACCAGTCTTTAGGACACGCCCACCGCGTCGTTTGCCAATAAATGGTAAAATCGGCTTTTTAATCTCTGGTTTCTTTTCCTCAACTTTTTTGGTTTCTTCTTGCATCTTTTTAAACATTTCCAAGAAGCTACCATCATTCTTAATAGGAATGGGTGTTGTTTTAGATGATGAAGTACCGGGGAATACTTGGTTAACAGGAGGTAAAAGCTCGGCGAAATTGGGACCTTCCACTTCAGGTGGGTCTCCATATTGAATTTCATCAATATCAGAGGCTGCTATAACACCTGGAGGAGGCTTAACTTCCTTTGGAGGTGATTTTTCTTTCTCCATTTCTTCTTGTCTACGCAGTTTCCAGAATCTTTTTCTGTCGGCTACTGTAAACTGACCACGACGTGCATCATCACTTGGTGTCCTGCTGAGACTACGGCTGCGCGAAGGTGAACTGCCTGATCGCGATCTCGAATCTCTGGAACAGCGACGATCTCTAGACTTTGATTTGCGGCGGGACTTTGATCTGTTTCCAGATGAACGCTTTGATCGATTATTAGAACGTGATCTACTACGTCTAGACATCCGTACATGTTTTGTATTATGTCTGGACTTTGAATGAGAGCTTCTTGATGATCTAGAAGATTTACTGGATGACTGTGAACTAGATCTAGAATGACCAGATTTAGAGGAATGAGACAATTTTTGCTTCTCATGCCGGGGGGAACAGGACCTAGAACGAGACTTGGAACCACTCGAAGATCTACTTCTGGCATAGCTTTTTGGTGGAGTTAATGAGTTGTCACGCTCCTTCCTAGGTGGTGTTTTTGGACTGCTATCTTTGTATTTGGTACTTTTTGAAGGTGTAACAGACTTTTGAGACCTCTTATAGCTTCTCGGTGGAGTAAGAGATGATGATTTATCTGTTTTACTAAAAGCTTTTGGAGGAGGTGTGCCTTCACTGTATTTCCCTGGTGAAGGACTCCCATCTTTATTATGTCTCTTATTTTTATTCTTGAAATCCTTTTTGGAATGACTTTTATTTTTTTTTAAATCTCTACCGTCTTTCAGTCTTGGTGATTTACTTGGAGATCTTCCAATACTCGGTGTTCTTGACCTAGTGCTAGAACCAGATCTACTTCTTTTTGTTGGAGTTATGGAACGATTATGACTCCTGTTGCGAACTTTCTTATAGGACCTATCAGATATAGAAGTGTCTGTTGATACAGATCTCTTTTTTCTTTTATTTTCTTTTACAGAAAAACGTGAGTAAGATCTGGATCCAGAGCTGGAACGGTCACTTGAAGAATATTTATTTCTCTTTGGCTTTGTAGACCTACTTCTCGATCTAGGATGTCGTCTACTGCCTTCTTCATAGCTACTCTCTCTTTTCCTCGGGTAAGCTCTCTCTCTTTTATCATAGGGTGATGCACTTCTAGATTTAGATCTGTACGCCTTTCTTTGATCATAACTACGCGGCTCGACCGGTGACAGTGTCCGATCACGGGGGGGGCGTGGTGGATAATCATAATTAGCTTGAGGCGCGGGAGGATACGGCGGCCTAGAATCAGGATACTTTCCATAGTAGCCGGTATCGTTTTGTTGATAATAACTAGGGTCATAATTGTAGCCGTAGCTAGCACCGTAAGCCTGGTAGTCGTAGCTGTGGGGCGGCGCGTAGTGCGTGTAGCTGACGCCCGTCCATGGGTCGGTGCTGGGGACCGCGCGCGCGGGCGGCGGCGCCAGCTGCGGCGGAGGCCCATACTCCGCCTCGGCGCCCGGCGGGCCGCCGTCCCACGCGCCGCGATACGAAGACATACTTATATCAGCTTCCTCGCATAACCTGCGGCAGTATGTAGGTACGCACACACCTACGAACAGAACAACTTTTCGGTGTAGACAGCAACTCTATTTTCCGTGCTCGTTATCTTTTTCATGATTCGTGGTAAGTGATTGTCATGAGGAAAACAAAATTACGTAATCCGCAGACTAAACGCGAGAAATATGAATAATTAACATGCGTATCAGTCTAAGCTTGTAATATTCTAATCATCGGTGACAAAAATACCTTTCATATCATGCTCACCTTTTTAGAAAGATACTTTTTTCCAAAATTTATCCAAATTAAAAATGGCAGCAACACATTCGCTTCACTCACTGATGATACCATAGACAATAAACCACAGACCAAGATAAAAAGGAGACAACGTTTAGGCTACGCACAGATATATTACATTAAAAGGAAAAAAGAAGCCATCATGGCAGGTTATTCAGCTCCATTCATTATAGCATTAGACAGAAGTGAAATAAGGTTCTTTTTATGGTATACTTTGTGACAAAATATCAATAATCATATTACTTTTAAGACTGACGGCTAATTTGCATATTCACTTAAATATCAGCTGCTATACTTAACTATTGTCATTTAAGCTAACTATTAAACAAATTTATGAGTCTATGACTAACTTCAATGATTTAATAAGTATTACAATAAAAAGTGTCCATCGTAAAGAACCTAAAGAAGCAGGGTTGGATAGTTTCGGCACGATTCTCATGTCACTATAACTCTACCAAATTTAAAACGTTGCCCTACCCCTTTAAGCGTTTCGGTAGTACAGCTTTTTAATTTTGTCAGACTATTATTTATTCATAATTGTTAAAATCGTAATCTGGGATTGTCATCCATTGTGAATGCTACTGCCTTTCTTGTTATTTAGCCGTTTTCCGTGATGTTATTGTTTTATTTTTGTTGTTAAGTTTTGGTAAATATGGACGATGCCGGTACAGGCCCGAGTGGCCTACAAAAATTATGCTCTAAGCCCCCATACCTACCCTCAAACTTTGACATTTCAAGGAGTTTTTCCAATGTCTTCATCAATAGCCTAACTTATTACACTTACAATTAGAATTTATCAAAACACACAGATAGTTTCAGTTTTAGTTTCATGTTGGCTTGAGACTAAAAGATGAATTTATAAAATGCTGGCCTCATCTCAACCCCGAGATATCATAAAAAATGGAAAATTGCCTAGCTCTTTCAGACTACCTAACGTTCAAAGTTTCAACAAAACTAATATAGATTTTTTAAATTTATCTTGAAAATAAAATGTTCTGCACTGCTGCTTCTATGACCCTCTTTTTTCTAATGTTATAGTGAATGGACTGTGAGCTTCAGCCGGTGTGCATAGATAATACAAACTAGTTCTTTTATTGGTCTGTGATAATGCATAATACTGTTGGTAATATTATATTTCTCTATGTAGTTTGTTAGGGAAAATTGTTTTATCCGGTAAATGTATTAATTATTTTGTGATTTATGTGTTAGTATCTGAACTGTTTAACTTATTAATACATAATCTAATGAAATGAGTAAGTCTAAAGTGACTGCAGAGTGGAAGAAGCGAGTAAAATCGGAGTATGTAAGACTTCGGCAATTGAAGGTATCGTAATCACTAACCAAAGAAACAAGTTTTTTCTATAAATGTATTTTTCAAAACGAATGTAATTCTAATAGCGTTTTAAACGAGCCGATGAAGTGAAGGTAGCATGGGCGAGGAATCTGAGAATAATGTCCGAGGCAATTGAAAATCGTGAATCGGAGAATGCTAAGTCTGGAAAGAGACCTTTTTGGCCTCCAGCCGGGCCAACCCCGAGTCACGAGAGTCTTATGAAGCGAGCTGAAGCTACTTGTACTGATGGTAAGTTACTTAACTTTTTAATTTATTACTTAGCTTTACAACAGTCTACAAACTTCCCAGAGAAGTTATAAAATTCAATATCACTGAAGCTAGTAATAAAATGTTGCATATTTAATATTTTGCAATCAAAAAGTTGCAACTTTTTGTATTTTTTTGATAGATTTAAATTATAAATTATTAAAATTTCACTCTAATAAATTATTATTAGATTATTTAAAGCTTTTTTTCATTAATTAATAGTTTATTCATTATATGTCAATAAATGAGTTTTAAACAAATTTCGTAAAAGTATTTACACAACTTGATTAATCTCACTTAATAATTTTTTTTTATGATTTACAGCATCTGGTGTAGTGACAACTCAACAAGTTCCTATAAGAATAATTAATTCTGTAAATCCTATCCCTACCATGTATACTTGGGCACCAACTCAGAAGAACTTCATGGTGGAGGACGAGACTGTTTTACACAACATTCCATACATGGGCGACGAAGTACTGGACCAGGACGGTACATTCATCGAGGAGCTCATAAAGAACTACGACGGGAAAGTGCATGGTACATCGGCTTACTTCATATCTCTTAGTAGCTTTTGGACAGAGTTTTAGTCACTTATACAATATTTGAATAGAACTTTGTGTTTTTATTAAATAACAATTTATTTTATTATTTTAGTGAATTTTGCAACCATAATGCCATCTTAATATTATTTTAGAAAAATAAATAACAACTATCAAGTGATAGTACTTGAAACAATTGTTTTCTCAAGTGTCTTGGCAAATAGAAATATGACGAATGTGCGATTATCTATTTCATTATCAATCTATTAATGAATCTGTTACGAAAATGTGAAACCATAAGAAAATACATGTTCAGAATGATTTTCTTGTGAATTTTATTTGAAGAGTGGTTCTACCATTAAACTATGAAATTCATTATAATCGTTTTCAGTATAGCATTGTGAATGTAAAATTGATAAAATAAAATAATTATATATCTCTGTCCATGAGTTCTTTACATGAAATAACACACATTGGTGTGTGGTGCACACATTTATGCTTTAGGTATTACAAGTTTCTAAATAAAATTGTAAGTAATTTGATCTGTTCATTTTTGTCAAATTGGAGATTTTCTATTTATTTAATTTCTGTCAGACTAGAATGTAGCATCTATATTTAGTAGGTAAAACTTACTCATGTCATCTAATTTGGTTTCTATAATCTTTTCAGAGCACCTCATAGGCCTATGCTCTCACAGTGTCACGCTTCCCGCGCTTTGATTACACAAACCATGTTTGTTTTTATTTTTAGTAAAGTATCTAATTAAAAAGCCTTCCTTGAAACTAGGACAAGGTATTAGGTTGTAGAGCAACAACTTCCTAAATGTCTTAATATGTAAATTAAAGTGATTTTTGGAAACAAAATTAAGATTTAATAATAATAAACTTGTTGCAAAGTTTTGTTTCTACAAAATTTTGATGTGACTAATGATTTCTGATCAAAAAAAAATATTTTTGACTTAAACTAACATCTTTCAGAATGGGATGTGCCAAAGGAGGCAATAAATAAATTTTAGAATTATTTTTATACACACATAAGGAACATCCCACAAGTATAACTGATGAATCACCAGTATTCTTATGTCACCTGTAATTTCCAAGGTGTAATGAAAATTGATTTGTATGGTTCCTTCAGCTCTGATAGATATGAGAGCAATATAAAAGAAATTATAATTATTTAGAATATGTATTTTTATGACAGGAGATAAAGAAGGTGGTTTCATTGATGATCAACTGTTTGTGGATTTGGTACATGCTCTAATGACTTACCAGACTAAAGATGAGGTGGCAGAGGAAAGGAAAGACCGAGAAGCACGCTCTTCTAAAGAAGAGAAAGAAGTTTGTATTACTTTTTTAAATGACCAATTGATATGACTTGGAACAACATGGTCATCTCTGTGGGATTTGATGATTTTTTTTTATATAAAAAAAAATAAATAAAACACATTTATTTAATTTCAGAAAGAAGCAGTCAAAGATGTTAAAGATAAGGATGCAAAAGAGGAGAGCGAAAAGAAATCAGTTGCAGATAAACAGTTTCCAATATTTACAATATTTCAGGCTATCAGCTCTCAGTTCCCAGACAAAGGGACTGCACAAGAGTTGAGAGAAAAGTGAGTAAAATTTATTTGTTATGTTTATATTATCAATTTGTAATATTATTTCGATTCACCATGATTTTAGTTTTATTATTAATGTAACTAAGATTTCTACATGACGATTCCTATCACTAGCTGACGTCAGTGCGTGACCCGGACGCGTTACCGCCCGAGTGTACGCCGTGATGTATGATGAGTGATGTGTGATGCGTAGATACATCGAGCTGACGTCAGTGCGTGACCCGGACGCGTTACCGCCCGAGTGTACGCCGTGATGTATGATGAGTGATGTGTGATGCGTAGATACATCGAGCTGACGTCAGTGCGTGACCCGGACGCGTTACCGCCCGAGTGTACGCCGTGATGTATGATGAGTGATGTGTGATGCGTAGATACATCGAGCTGACGTCAGTGCGTGACCCGGACGCGTTACCGCCCGAGTGTACGCCGTGATGTATGATGAGTGATGTGTGATGCGTAGATACATCGAGCTGACGTCAGTGCGTGACCCGGACGCGTTACCGCCCGAGTGTACGCCGTGATGTATGATGAGTGATGTGTGATGCGTAGATACATCGAGCTGACGTCAGTGCGTGACCCGGACGCGTTACCGCCCGAGTGTACGCCGTGATGTATGATGAGTGATGTGTGATGCGTAGATACATCGAGCTGACGTCAGTGCGTGACCCGGACGCGTTACCGCCCGAGTGTACGCCGTGATGTATGATGAGTGATGTGTGATGCGTAGATACATCGAGCTGACGTCAGTGCGTGACCCGGACGCGTTACCGCCCGAGTGTACGCCGAACATCGACGGACCGTTGGCAGAGTCCGTGTCTCGCGATCAGACGATGCATTCCTTCCATACGCTCTTCTGTCGACGCTGCTTCAAGTACGATTGCTTTCTGCACAGTGAGTACTCCTCTTCGTGTCCGTACCGAACATAACGGTTAGATTAATGTAAATTGTTCTTTTTTAACCCTATAATGTTCCATGAAATAAGTTTAAACAGTTAACACTGGTCAACTCTACAGTACATTTTATTTTCATATGGAAATTTAAAAATATCTTCCTAAGAAAGCTGACACGATCGATTGCTGTAGTTTTTTTAAACTACTTAAGAATAAAATAGGATATTAATAAACTGAGCCTGAGTACTGTATAGTTTTTAGTTATTATTTATACATTACATAGAGATAATATTCGCTTTATAAGCTTAGTATAAGTATTATATTAAAAATAATACTAGGGTGATAATTTTCAATAAGAGATGGGCCGAGTATTCATGTGTAATTCGATACTTTGCGTTTCGTTCGTCTTTCTCCCTAATCAATCCCAACTATAGGGAATAGGGTGCCTCGGCATTGGGTACATCTTGGGTAGCATCTGAACTTACCTGAACCTAATACTCGGTACATCTCTATTTTGATTTATAGATTGTACTATATTCCGTGTACTATGTGTATACATATATGGAGATGATTACATTTTGTTATTTGTTGGGCCGACAGGAAGCCACACGGCAGGTAAGGCCGTCCACTCCCAGTCATCGCCGCATATATCATTATTGGCTGTATCATTATAACATTATTGTCGTATTTATTTTTCAGTGTTCTATATTTTTTGTCATATTATTTATTACTCGAAAATACAGCTGATTATTCTAAGTCGATGACAAATATTTTGAAGAAATATGGTATGCCTCAATATACATTTAGAATTGCACAAAATACAAACAATGTTTATTTTTTATATTGTAAGCGTTCAAGCCTTTTAAAGATATGACGAGAAAAAACCCTTAATGCAATTAAAACGGTCACAAAATATTACGGAGAAGTCTGCATGATTTTAGTGCCTAAATAAAAGTTAATATTAAGGCATACCAAATTTTTTCACATCACATATGGCTCTTATAATGCTTGCTGTTCGACATTCTTAAATCATATTCCGACCTTTTTATGTTCCACATATCTCATTTTAAGTACACTATCACAATGACATGTTATTGATATGTCTATTAGGAATAGAATGGCAAATGACTGCACTGGACAATTTTGCACGAGCCTTTTACTATGTGACAGACATTTTATTGAACATTTTGTAGGTACCTATTTATTTTCAACATAGTATTTTTTTTTTCATTTTGAGAAAGCCTAGCGCCTGTCAAACATAATTTGAGTTGCAGTTATAATTGTGATAAATGTTTTTAATATTATCTTTGTATGCTACACCTCTCTCTCCTTACTTCGTGTCGTTTTTATTTTAAGGCAACGACACTTGTATACAGTCGAGGGACTTTGCGCTCTGCCACTTTGTATACAAAATCCTTTGATTAATTCTCGTGTAGTGATACTGGAATTGAACGCAGGGAGGAATTATCTGAAGCTGACAGAGATCCGAATTCCTCGGTTGTAGATGCATAGCGACCTCTTGATAATTGTCTGTGGGTTGGTTGATGGGTTCGAATTAAAGTTTTACATTTCTCCTGGCCAGTCGAGCGCGCGGCTGCAATCGTAACGTATTCCAATTGGTCTTTTATTACTGGGGCTTTCTGAAGCATAACTAATACGACAGAACTTTGAATGTTCGAATATTATAGATTTTTAATAGAATTTTAGAAAATCCTAGTAATGTAATATTAGCGGTGAGTGGTAATACGAGTGGTGTGTGCGTGTAGGGCTGCAGGCGTGCCACCCGGGGCCGAACCTGGCCAAGCGCAAGGGGCCCGACCTCAAGCCCTTCTCGGAACCGTGCGGGCCCAACTGCTACATGCTACTGGTCAGTTACCATTGTACAGTTCGTATATAAGAATTAAGAAGTTGCAAACAATAAAACATGTTTTTTTCCATACAAAATACAAGTTTATGATAAATTTATTAGTTTAACAAAGTTCTATGCAGATAAAAAAATAAATCCAAAACTGAAACTTTGCTCCCATCTTTTCGCCCAAACCGAACCACTGTGGGAAGGTACAAAAAAAAATATTTCGTCCTAAAAATTATGTTGAAATTCTTGGTTCATCCAAGTTGTCGTTTACGATGTCAGCTGTGTAATCCTGCATTGCCACGTGGCAGGAGGGGATCCGCGAGAAGTTGGCCCGCGAGCAGGCGGCGGGCGAGGAGGACGCCGGCAAGCCGCCCGCCATAGACTCGCCCAACGACGCCTCCTCCGAGGACAGCAACGACTCCAACAGGTTCCAGAAAGGTAAACGCCACGCCCGTGTTTGCCCGCCCGGGCTTGGTTATTATACCGGGGGCTGATTGTCTACTTTTAAATTTGACTGTTGTTAGATTTTCAAGAATTTTACGCTCCAACATGTTTAATACTTATAGACAAGCGTTAGACGGAAAATCTTTAAAGGCTAATATTTCATATTAATAAATGTCAAATGATATAATATAATGCTGACTACAATCTGTCGATGGGGTTAGCGAAGTATTTATGTTTCTTTATCATTCTAATCGTCATTCGTTACGAAAACAATTGCGGCTGTAATCGTTACAGAATTCCATAAAACGCTATTACAATGTTTATACCTTCGAAAGACATTGCGACAGATTTGGAAATTTGACTATTAGCCCCCAATATAATGATAACCAATAAATAAAGGAAGTGTAATCACTGGGATATTCTAATACTAAGGATGTGTAGGATTTAAATTCTACTTATATGTATATTTTCTGTGAAAGTTACCCTAGGACTCCATCAATAGTAATCCAGTTTTGATGATTTTGTGTGAGTATTTTTTTTTTGTTGAACCTCGAAGAACTAGTAACTTATTGAAATAACCGTCTAGTTATAGAGCATTTTAAAATTTTAACTACTCTAAATATTTGTTTTTGAAAAAAAAAACTATTTATATCTAACTTTCGTTTACATAGTATGGATATATATGCCTGCGGCGAATAATATATGTTCAAACTAAACCTATAATCAACCACTGACTATGAACGAGCGTTACGTAGTTTTGTATTTCCACATATACTCATCTTTTCGTTCACAATAAACTGGTTACAAGCCGAACGAAATAATAGATTATTGGATCACAGCGCGCGCCTTATTCTTTTTGATGCCGACTTATGGCCGAATGAAAATGACTGTGTATAAATAGAACTCGTATCGAGCACAAAAATGTTTTTTTTTTCGTATCAGTATTTGTACGGCGCCATCTACCGCCGCAAAACTATAAAAAATGTCGTTTATACAGTCGATACACTATTAATTATCGTATTAAGGGTGAAGGATAACGATAGTATGTACGTGTGGTATGTACGTGTGTATATTGCATTCAGGCAGTAACAGTAACTCCAGTAACAGTAGCGGGGGCGTCCGGCCCACGCCTGCAGAGCCGCCGTACAACGCGCTCGGTAAGTCCCACGATTATATTTAGTTATTTTATTGGTAGCAGGGCGGCCGGTGCGACGTGCATCTTTGACATCAAAATTTTCAGACTGAAAACGCCTAACATGCTTCGACTAGCAAAATCGAATTAAACGTAACTTGATGTAACATATGTTATTTTGTTTGCCTATGCAACTAGAACAAAGAAAGACATTAAATATATTTTTTAAAGCTGGGAGTATCAAGTAATTGTATAATATGTTTTTGAGCTTATGTCGTATTCTTTAAACTGTAGCATTTTGAGTTAGAGGTATTACAGTTGAAATATGTAAAGCACACGTCAGATAATGCCTAATCGTATCCTAGAAGTGCATACTTTCACATAATACTTCAAACTTGCTCCATATTAGATAAATTATTTTTATCGACTGTAAGATATAAAATAATTTTTTGTGAACCAATGAACATCAAAAAAGTAATAGAATTTTTAAGATTGCTCTCAATAACTCTACTTTTCTATCTTACATTACAACTTATATAAAGTAACTATCTAATTTACTAATTTCAAAAGGATATAGCAAAACAACATGTTGATTTTTCTTTTCTTTATTACAACTCTAATGAATACCTCATCACGGAATACTGCAGGAGCAGCTTCATTCCAATCGTGTCTGGCCCATCCAAGATACCAAACTATGGTCATCATATGAGCACAGCATCCCAGTGTATATCGACCAATAAGACAATTACAGCAGTGTTCTCTTATGCCATCTAACCCGGATGTGTCATTATTCTTTAAAATGTACACATAATATTGTTTCCTCCCAATGTCTCGACTTAATTCTACCCTTTATAATTAGTTCTTTATTTATATTTAAGTCTAATTCTAATAAATCCAGAAAATCCGGTATTTCTCTCCAGACCTCAATTTTATACTGCCCATGGAACCTAGTATGCTCCCCATAATACAGAAGATAATACAAAATCACCGCCAAAGTTACAAAACGGTCTGCGTAGAAATACGTCTACACATACTTGTCTAAAAAGGGAGGTCACAATCGATTAAATACTGTAATATCGATTCTTATGAATAATCATTTGTTTTTAATTTCATTATAAATATACTATTTTCCTCTAAGTAACATCTTATTATATTAGTAATCTTATCTAAGTTTTATAATTTTCACGGATTTATATGGTTAGTAAATAATATAAGATTTCTATCAAATTCGATTAGTCAGAAATAAAATCGAGTCTTGTTCTTTAAAAAGAGAGGGACTTCTCTAGGAATGACATTATTAATAAGATGCGTTCAAAAATAATATAAATTAAACTGCGTTCTAAAAAATAAAGACATGTTTTAGAGAGGATTATCTTTCTTTTCCCAGCTTTTAAAAATATTGTTGGAATATAATAATTACATTCAACTTATACTACATTTTGGTGATAAGGTCCGTTAATGTCACAATATTTTTTGCGGCTTGCATTTTTACGTTTTCTGTAATAAAATTTTATAATATATCTTCATTTTAGTCACTATTTTTTAAAAGTTAGAAAAATAAATGAAAGTCACTCATTTTGCTAACCTGATTTCGGAGTTATTTTCTTTAAAATATAAACTTTTTAATGACCAGATACAAAGCTGTCAGCAGATCGATCCGAAGCCAACAGCGCGACTCGTTTTTAAGAATTTTACGAATTATATTGTTTTTATACCAAAAGTTTTTATTTCGCCTCATTCAGCGCATTCGATGGGTATTATGCCGTTAGTACCTATACTGACGCAGTCATCTGCGAAAAAGGTCGTTACACAGACGCACATGTTACGCATTCAGGGTTGCCACCTGACCTGGTTTCTGATGACTATCCGAATATCACGTATTTTGTTTCTCAAAAGGTGACAACCCTGTCGTCATCCGCATAGTTAATTTAACATAAACTATAGTGTGTGTGTGTGCGTGCGCGTGTGTGCACTGTAGGCTTGACGGTGGGCGACATAGAGGCGGAGTGGACGGGCTCGGACCAGTCGCTGTTCCGCGCGCTGCACAAGGTGTTCCCCTCCAACTACTGCGCCATCGCACAGCTCATGCTCTCCAAGACCTGCCAACAGGTAACGTAGTAGCTGAATCCTCTGGATTCCCTTCTGGATTCGAGACACATTTTGTAATCAAAACCTAATAATCATAATAATGTTAAAATAATTTGATGAGGGCAGGGATTTGAGCGGATGTTATTTTTCGAATCAGTGGCGTGTTGGAAAATACAAAATTGGTCGACTTAATGTGGCTATGTGACTTCATAATTTCGCGAACCGTAAATGAACTTTAAGTAATTTATTTTAAAAGCAAATAAAAACTGTAATCCTCATCGATCTATATTTTCACGCCGGGTCCACTTTTCTATTTAAAAGAGGGTGCTGCGTTACAAATGAATGTAGAAGTGCACAATGTCTTATCGCCGATGCACAGGTGTACACGTACTGGATCAACACCGGGCAGGAGGAGTGCCGCGTGGAGGCGGAGCTGACGCCGCCGCGCAAGAAGAAGAAGAAGCACCGCCTCTGGTCCGTGCACTGCCGCAAGATACAGCTCAAGAAGGACTCCGCCGCACATCACGTGTGAGTACATCGTGTCAAATCGATCATAGAAAGTAGAGATAGCAGATAAATTTTTTATTAAGTATAATTTTAATAAGTCTCGAAAATATCATTATAATAATTGAATTAGATTTTGTTTATTACATTTGATCAATTTAGGTCCTGGGTGCTCGGTGGTCATGTAAGGGACAAAGTGGATATTTAGCATTTTTCATTAAAAATAACTTTTTTAGTTTGTTAATTTATTCATTTACGTTAAATTATTACAATATTAACATTTACATTAAATTTTAATATTGAGGTATATATAAAAGAAAAGACTTTGTAATAACGCGATAACAAAAAGAAAGGCATATTTATTTTTAATGAAATCCGGTTTAAAACACAAAAAAAAATTTAGCAGACATATCTAATTTGTAGTGCGACGATTTCGAGATGGGTTCTCTGATGCCACAGGCGAATTGGAGGACACAGACTTTCCGTGCGAAAACACGCAGTTTTAAAAATTTATAGTTTATTTTATTTTAATATTGACCTATATTTTTATTATATTATATTAAATATAATAATATCAACATCATTGAAACTTCTCAATTGTTAGCTCTTGATTGTGTTAATCCAACAATTCTTGGACGTCATCAGTATCCATCTCAAAAAAAAATGGCAATATCTATAACATTTTGGTCTTTTGTATGACCAAATTAAAGATTATATGGAAAACTAGCTGTTTGCACGCGTAAATTATAACCTATGTCAACTCTGTATGATGTAGCTACCCGCAGGTGATTTTTTTTTTAAATCGGTCCAGTAGTTTCGATGCAAACAAGCAATCAAATCATTCCCCTTTATGATATTAGTATTATTTAATATCAATAATGTACGCTGCGTACGTAAAATAATTTGACAAGGAACACGCCCGAATGTGCGCTTCGTACATAAAACAATTCCACAAGAAACATGCGCCGATGCGCGCCGAGAAAACCGCGTATCTCCGAACACGCAATGTTATCCGTTTTTACTAACCTAGGATAAGGCATAGCTTAACTAGAAATCACTTAATATTAAGAATATTAAGCTGATTCGTTTCACCAAACCAGTAACGTTAGGTTAGTGCCTTACTAAGCACTTGCTTAGATAAGCAACGCTTGTCTATGACTTAGCATGCTTCAGTTTTTGTTTCTTTTTTATGTTACACAATTCTTCTTATGTCACGTTGGTGGCTTTTACACGTAAAGATTGAATAACAAGAAAAATAATACGTATTTACACAAGCACCAAAGTCCGTATCTTGATTCTAATATATAAACTCCTTGATTCCAATTTATTAAATTGATTTTGAGCTGGATGCGAATAGCCGAAAATCGATGTAGATGGCGTGCAATTGGGGAGGCCTATGTCCAGCAGTGGACGAATATGGGCTGATGATGATGATGATGATGATGAAATTGATTTTATCCCTCGACACATTCGTTATGATCAAAGTATAATATATATGTCACATTACACAAATGGTCAGCGCTAGGCGTCACAGATGCATGTCTTAATTTTATGCGTCGCTTAATGTCGTTAGTTGGCTCCTTGTCATTGGTATAACACATTTTCACCTTTAGTTTTGTTGCCAGTAAGGTATATATTTGTATTTTTTTATCTTCGAGGTAACGAACATAATATTAAATCCTAAGCACTGGATGATTGTATGGTAGCTAATATGGTGATGTTATTGTTCAGATACAACTACACGCCGTGCGACCATCCGAACCAGCCGTGCGACAACATGTGTCCCTGCCTGCAGTCGCAGAACTTCTGCGAGAAGTTCTGTCAGTGCAGCAGCGATTGTGAGTACCATTCTGTATATAATGTTATATACAAACCCATTTAATATAAATATATACGACTACTTTTGAATGTCTTAAATATTTTTAATGTTTCTGTGTCCGGACAATAGGCACAGGTTATAAATGCATTTTTGTGATTGTTTTACTGTATTCGTTTTCGATTTCTAAAACTGCATTCATATATTTTTCACTGGGGCTCAAAAACGCATCGCTATTTAGGTCGGCTATCTCTCGGTCGTCGTATGTCGTTTTGTTGTCGCAACGTGAGTATAGCTAGTCGTGTCGCAGGCCAGAACCGCTTCCCGGGCTGCCGCTGCAAGGCGTCGTGCAACACCAAGCAGTGCCCGTGCTACCTGGGCGTGCGCGAGTGCGACCCCGACCTGTGCACCGCATGCGGGGCCACGCACCCGCACTCCTGCCGCAACGTCTGCGTGCAGAGGTACCGCGCTATACACTATACACTGTACACTATACACTATACACTATACCTGGGCGTGCGCGAGTGCGACCCCGACCTGTGCACCGCATGCGGGGCCACGCACCCGCACTCCTGCCGCAACGTCTGCGTGCAGAGGTACCGCGCTATACACTATACACTGTACACTATACACTATACACTATACACTATACCTGGGCGTGCGCGAGTGCGACCCCGACCTGTGCACCGCATGCGGGGCCACGCACCCGCACTCCTGCCGCAACGTCTGCGTGCAGAGGTACCGCGCTATACACTATACACTGTACACTATACACTATACACTATACCTGGGCGTGCGCGAGTGCGACCCCGACCTGTGCACCGCATGCGGGGCCACGCACCCGCACTCCTGCCGCAACGTCTGCGTGCAGAGGTACCGCGCTATACACTATACACTGTACACTATACACTATACACTATACCTGGGCGTGCGCGAGTGCGACCCCGACCTGTGCACCGCATGCGGGGCCACGCACCCGCACTCCTGCCGCAACGTCTGCGTGCAGAGGTACCGCGCTATACACTATACACTGTACACTATACACTATACACTATACCTGGGCGTGCGCGAGTGCGACCCCGACCTGTGCACCGCATGCGGGGCCACGCACCCGCACTCCTGCCGCAACGTCTGCGTGCAGAGGTACCGCGCTATACACTATACACTGTACACTATACACTATACACTATACCTGGGCGTGCGCGAGTGCGACCCCGACCTGTGCACCGCATGCGGGGCCACGCACCCGCACTCCTGCCGCAACGTCTGCGTGCAGAGGTACCGCGCTATACACTATACACTGTACACTATACACTATACACTATACCTGGGCGTGCGCGAGTGCGACCCCGACCTGTGCACCGCATGCGGGGCCACGCACCCGCACTCCTGCCGCAACGTCTGCGTGCAGAGGTACCGCGCTATACACTATACACTGTACACTATACACTATACACTATACACTATACACTATACACTATACCTGGGCGTGCGCGAGTGCGACCCCGACCTGTGCACCGCATGCGGGGCCACGCACCCGCACTCCTGCCGCAACGTCTGCGTGCAGAGGTACCGCGCTATACACTATACACTGTACACTATACACTATACACTATACACTATACCTGGGCGTGCGCGAGTGCGACCCCGACCTGTGCACCGCATGCGGGGCCACGCACCCGCACTCCTGCCGCAACGTCTGCGTGCAGAGGTACCGCGCTATACACTATACACTGTACACTATACACTATACACTATACCTGGGCGTGCGCGAGTGCGACCCCGACCTGTGCACCGCATGCGGGGCCACGCACCCGCACTCCTGCCGCAACGTCTGCGTGCAGAGGTACCGCGCTATACACTATACACTGTACACTATACACTATACACTATACACTATACCTGGGCGTGCGCGAGTGCGACCCCGACCTGTGCACCGCATGCGGGGCCACGCACCCGCACTCCTGCCGCAACGTCTGCGTGCAGAGGTACCGCGCTATACACTATACACTGTACACTATACACTATACACTATACCTGGGCGTGCGCGAGTGCGACCCCGACCTGTGCACCGCATGCGGGGCCACGCACCCGCACTCCTGCCGCAACGTCTGCGTGCAGAGGTACCGCGCTATACACTATACACTGTACACTATACACTATACACTATACCTGGGCGTGCGCGAGTGCGACCCCGACCTGTGCACCGCATGCGGGGCCACGCACCCACTCCTGCCGCAACGTCTGCGTGCAGAGGTACCGCGCTATACACTATACACTGTGCGACCCCGACCTGTGCACCGCATGCGGGGCCACGCACCCGCACTCCTGCCGCAACGTCTGCGTGCAGAGGTACCGCGCTATACACTATACACTGTACACTATACACTATACACTATACCTGGGCGTGCGCGAGTGCGACCCCGACCTGTGCACCGCATGCGGGGCCACGCACCCGCACTCCTGCCGCAACGTCTGCGTGCAGAGGTACCGCGCTATACACTATACACTGTACACTATACACTATACACTATACCTGGGCGTGCGCGAGTGCGACCCCGACCTGTGCACCGCATGCGGGGCCACGCACCCGCACTCCTGCCGCAACGTCTGCGTGCAGAGGTACCGCGCTATACACTATACACTGTACACTATACACTATACACTATACCTGGGCGTGCGCGAGTGCGACCCCGACCTGTGCACCGCATGCGGGGCCACGCACCCGCACTCCTGCCGCAACGTCTGCGTGCAGAGGTACCGCGCTATACACTATACACTGTACACTATACACTATACACTATACACTATACACTATACACTATACACTATACCTGGGCGTGCGCGAGTGCGACCCCGACCTGTGCACCGCATGCGGGGCCACGCACCCGCACTCCTGCCGCAACGTCTGCGTGCAGAGGTACCGCGCTATACACTATACACTGTACACTATACACTATACACTATACCTGGGCGTGCGCGAGTGCGACCCCGACCTGTGCACCGCATGCGGGGCCACGCACCCGCACTCCTGCCGCAACGTCTGCGTGCAGAGGTACCGCGCTATACACTATACACTGTACACTATACACTATACACTATACCTGGGCGTGCGCGAGTGCGACCCCGACCTGTGCACCGCATGCGGGGCCACGCACCCGCACTCCTGCCGCAACGTCTGCGTGCAGAGGTACCGCGCTATACACTATACACTGTACACTATACACTATACACTATACCTGGGCGTGCGCGAGTGCGACCCCGACCTGTGCACCGCATGCGGGGCCACGCACCCGCACTCCTGCCGCAACGTCTGCGTGCAGAGGTACCGCGCTATACACTATACACTGTACACTATACACTATACACTATACACTATACCTGGGCGTGCGCGAGTGCGACCCCGACCTGTGCACCGCATGCGGGGCCACGCACCCGCACTCCTGCCGCAACGTCTGCGTGCAGAGGTACCGCGCTATACACTATACACTGTACACTATACACTATACACTATACCTGGGCGTGCGCGAGTGCGACCCCGACCTGTGCACCGCATGCGGGGCCACGCACCCGCACTCCTGCCGCAACGTCTGCGTGCAGAGGTACCGCGCTATATACACTGTACACTATACACTATACACTATACCTGGGCGTGCGCGAGTGCGACCCCGACCTGTGCTGCGACCCCGACCTGTGCACCGCATGCGGGGCCACGCACCCGCACTCCTGCCGCAACGTCTGCGTGCAGAGGTACCGCGCTATACACTATACACTGTACACTATACACTATACACTATACCTGGGCGTGCGCGAGTGCGACCCCGACCTGTGCACCGCATGCGGGGCCACGCACCCGCACTCCTGCCGCAACGTCTGCGTGCAGAGGTACCGCGCTATACACTATACACTGTACACTATACACTATACACTATACCTGGGCGTGCGCGAGTGCGACCCCGACCTGTGCACCGCATGCGGGGCCACGCACCCGCACTCCTGCCGCAACGTCTGCGTGCAGAGGTACCGCGCTATACACTATACACTGTACACTATACACTATACACTATACCTGGGCGTGCGCGAGTGCGACCCCGACCTGTGCACCGCATGCGGGGCCACGCACCCGCACTCCTGCCGCAACGTCTGCGTGCAGAGGTACCGCGCTATACACTATACACTGTACACTATACACTATACACTATACCTGGGCGTGCGCGAGTGCGACCCCGACCTGTGCACCGCATGCGGGGCCACGCACCCGCACTCCTGCCGCAACGTCTGCGTGCAGAGGTACCGCGCTATACACTATACACTGTACACTATACACTATACACTATACACTATACACTATACCTGGGCGTGCGCGAGTGCGACCCCGACCTGTGCACCGCATGCGGGGCCACGCACCCGCACTCCTGCCGCAACGTCTGCGTGCAGAGGTACCGCGCTATACACTATACACTGTACACTATACACTATACACTATACCTGGGCGTGCGCGAGTGCGACCCCGACCTGTGCACCGCATGCGGGGCCACGCACCCGCACTCCTGCCGCAACGTCTGCGTGCAGAGGTACCGCGCTATACACTATACACTGTACACTATACACTATACACTATACCTGGGCGTGCGCGAGTGCGACCCCGACCTGTGCACCGCATGCGGGGCCACGCACCCGCACTCCTGCCGCAACGTCTGCGTGCAGAGGTACCGCGCTATACACTATACACTGTACACTATACACTATACACTATACCTGGGCGTGCGCGAGTGCGACCCCGACCTGTGCACCGCATGCGGGGCCACGCACCCGCACTCCTGCCGCAACGTCTGCGTGCAGAGGTACCGCGCTATACACTATACACTGTACACTATACACTATACACTATACACTATACACTATACCTGGGCGTGCGCGAGTGCGACCCCGACCTGTGCACCGCATGCGGGGCCACGCACCCGCACTCCTGCCGCAACGTCTGCGTGCAGAGGTACCGCGCTATACACTATACACTGTACACTATACACTATACACTATACCTGGGCGTGCGCGAGTGCGACCCCGACCTGTGCACCGCATGCGGGGCCACGCACCCGCACTCCTGCCGCAACGTCTGCGTGCAGAGGTACCGCGCTATACACTATACACTGTACACTATACACTATACACTATACCTGGGCGTGCGCGAGTGCGACCCCGACCTGTGCACCGCATGCGGGGCCACGCACCCGCACTCCTGCCGCAACGTCTGCGTGCAGAGGTACCGCGCTATACACTATACACTGTACACTATACACTATACACTATACCTGGGCGTGCGCGAGTGCGACCCCGACCTGTGCACCGCATGCGGGGCCACGCACCCGCACTCCTGCCGCAACGTCTGCGTGCAGAGGTACCGCGCTATACACTATACACTGTACACTATACACTATACACTATACCTGGGCGTGCGCGAGTGCGACCCCGACCTGTGCACCGCATGCGGGGCCACGCACCCGCACTCCTGCCGCAACGTCTGCGTGCAGAGGTACCGCGCTATACACTATACACTGTACACTATACACTATACACTATACCTGGGCGTGCGCGAGTGCGACCCCGACCTGTGCACCGCATGCGGGGCCACGCACCCGCACTCCTGCCGCAACGTCTGCGTGCAGAGGTACCGCGCTATACACTATACACTGTATATATAACAGAAGGCAATCACACGAACCTATATATAGCTCCGCGCCATCGGACGATCCACGCCATCTATGAGTCATACAGATGTCTAATGTGTTGTATTTTACACCTTATGGTTAAAAAAGAAAAAATCATACGTTCGACCGACGTATTAGTAGAAAAACAAATACGTTCATTCCTAATAAAGACCTCCGTTGAAAGATAATGAACTTAATGAACATCTCCCATCGTGCAAACGACATTGTACATAAATATACTGCAAAATGGAGTTATCACAATCTTATTCTCTCCCCATTTCCAAATATTTTTATGAATCTGTTAATAATAATAATGTTTTATTTGGTATCACAGTTTAAGTAAGGTTAAAATTGTTGGCTACTTTATATATTTTTTTTATTATTAAATTTATTTATTTATTTAAAATTATCCCTCGAAAACAATCAGTTATGTGACATTTTGAGCAGTGACGTCGTATTTCAGTAAACACGAATACACTCGCAACAGAGACGTTCACGTTTAGTTTACTGAAATGTGACGTCACGCGATGCTCCGTCATGGCCGCCTGCGTTTCGGTTGTTGTAGTCCACAGATTATAAACCGCAAGTTAATATCGTAAAAATAAAATATGTTTACATACAATTTATTTTGAAACAAATTATTCTACATAAATAATACACTAGTAATATAATTTGTAAATTATCAATTGAGATTCAACTAATATGGTGCACAGTGTAATAAGTTGATAGTTATTTAAAAAATATATCGTACGTTGAGAACGATAGTGACACTATGCAAACAATGCGATTTTGAGTAATGAGCGTTTAAAGTTCGAGGAATTGTATTCAGCCCCTCTGAACAACGTATCGTCACTACGCCACCTAGCAGTTTCTATGCAAGCTACGTTTACAGGGATCTTTGCATTTTAAAGTTTATACTTAACAAAGAAAAATGTTAACAAATGTAAAAAATACATCGTTTTTGGTTAGTGATATTGTCATTCTCAACGGGCGATATACATTTTGAGGTCGATTTTTTAAATTATAATTGGCTATAAATGTTCAGGAAGATCCAACCAATATATAAGGTGTAATATTATTTATTATATGCCAACATTTATATTTTCGTGAATTCAGTGTTGCTTCCATAGTAAATGTTGTTCCACGAAGTCCTGGCATATAATAATATTACACCCTATATACTATACATACATAGTAAATCTCAGTTTGAACAGAGCAGACCTCTACGTACACGTGAATAGTAAATAGATCTCCCGATGGCGTGATACTAGCGTCGCTCTGATTGGGCGACGGTCGCTCGCTCGTTGGGTGTGCGTGCGTGTGTGCGTGTGTGTGAGTGCGTGCGTGTGTGTGTGCAGGGGCCTGCACAAGCACCTGCTGCTGGCGCCCAGCGACGTGGCGGGGTGGGGCATATTCCTGAAGGACGCCGCGCACAAGAACGAGTTCATATCCGAGTACTGCGGCGAGATCATATCGCAGGTACCACTCGCTACTTCGCTAGTCGGCGGCCGCGCTATATACTCTATACTCTATACTCACTCTCGACGACGGAACTTCATAAAGCTTCGACCTCTTTCTTTATGATTGAAGAATCGTGTCCAATTTTGATTCAAAAAATTTACTAACGCGTCCAGTGATGTGATTTATCTCAAAATGTAGCTTATTTTTTGCTTAGGATAAAATTGCGACCCTGATAATAATTTTTAAATTGTACTATGATAACTACCCCAATGCGATTTGGTCCCGATGACGGTTTGCTAAGTTTTGTTTCATCAAATACGGAAATATACTCGTTCGCCCAAAGGTAAAAGTTATTTCCTTATTTACAGGTAAATAGATAAATTTCAGGTCAAACCATTAAAATCTTAGAGGTTAATTCATTACTTTTTAAAGTAGCTTCACATTTATCTCCAGTTTTGACAGCTATTATAACCACAAAATATTCTCCCTGGCCTCCAAATAAAAGCATACTAAGATACTATTCTATATCAGCAAAAACTAATTCATCGCTACCGATGGGCATTAGGGCCCACTCACTAATCGTTCGCGACCTATCGGTGGGTAGCGACACATACTTTAGGAAATACTGGTCTAGTCTATTGGGTGGATGTAGGTTTAAAAGACGAATAAGGGAGTGGTTACTGGATAAACTTCTATATTTTTGTAATGTAAATTCTTAGTTATTGTGCTTTCTGACAAATACAATTGTTGTAAAGTAAACCTGGTAATAATAATATAATAGTTAGAACTCGTTTTATAATAAGACATCGAGTGTAGAAGATTTACTGTAAATAAATAATTATTTTTCGCTAATCAGGACGAGGCGGACAGACGAGGGAAGGTGTACGACAAGTACATGTGCTCCTTCCTGTTTAATCTCAACAACGGTATGTTACTTGTTCACACTTATTGTAGGACTATATAATTAATATTGTGCAAAATACATTATAGATATGCCCCACGTTACTGAATGAAAAAAATGTATCACGTGAGAATATAGAGAAATTCATAGCGTCTACAGGAAAATTTAGTCAGAATCTAATTATAATATTGTGTTTGTTATTGTGAATTATAATCACAACCCGTACCAATTAACATGACACCTGAGTGGGTATTATATTTGATAAATTTTGTATTCACAATGCTATACTGTAAAATATTCCTAATGATAAATGCTTAAAAAGGTCATGGGTTTGAGTCCCATCTCAGAGTGCCAGGGGCAAAGTGGTTATTTTAAGCATTTTCCATCAAGAATATTCTATATGTCCTCATAGTTCGGAATTATCTATGAATGTGTCAGGTTCCACCTCCGTTGCATCAAAAATGCGTCTCTTTGGAGTCATACTAGTTGCCACTCGTACCTTGAGCGCTGTTAACATTGATAGTGCATGCATGCGTCTACGCATACACATGGGGCCGCTCATTAACAAACCGTTTTCGGTACATATGTATGAATTCAATGTATTCTATTATACAATGACAATAATGTGTTGAAACTACGACCAAGCTATTTTGATACTTTTTTGTATTTCTATGGGGTTCTTCTCTATCGCTATTCTTGTACATTTTCACACGATTTTCCAAGAAAAGGAGTATACGATATATGCATCACATCTTCCCAAATCTATGTATTGCGGGTTATTTCTGTGGGCGTGATTTACTAGTATAAAAACTTGTAGGCCGAGAATCAGTTGCGAACTAATCGGAGGCCCAGGTTGCCAATAAGCCTGGATCGACATCTTGTTCCAACCGAGGCCGACAACCGAGAATCTTGATATTGATTTATTGGTGCGTTGTTATTTTTTAAGTGGTGAAACGAGTTCGACCCCTCCCCGGCTTCCCAACTAAGGTATCCACTAGCGCCGTCGCAACTTTAAAGTTAATCATCATCAGCCTTTTAACGTCCCCACTTCAGGGGCTCAGACCGTCCTTATGAATGGTGAAGGAGAATGGACCATGACCCCCCCTCCCCCCTAAACTGGCCTAATATACCAATCCAAGGCCTAATATACCAAAACAACTGTAAATGCAACTGAGCCCAACGGCTGCCGTCAAGTGCCGTCAAGCTCGATATAATATTTTTTTGGTCATCAATTTTAATATCTTTTCAACAATATTATGAAAAGGGAGATAAATTTTAAACCCATATTTTGCACTATTGAATAAGTCAAAATATTAATATGTATATGCTTATTTTTGCTTCCGAGACCGAGAACGCCAAAATTTACCATTTTACGCAAAAATCTTCGTTGAAATGCAATATAGCTTTTATTTTATTTTAAGTTTATAATGTTGTATGTGTCAGATTTCGTGGTTGACGCGACACGCAAAGGCAACAAGATAAGGTTCGCGAATCACTCCATCAACCCGAACTGTTACGCGAAGGTGATGATGGTGAACGGTGATCATCGCATCGGCATATTCGCCAAACGCGCCATACAACCCGGCGAGGAACTGTTCTTTGACTATAGGTATACCCACACTACACATTATCTTGTTATTGTGTTATCTCATGATAATGTTTGATAATCTCATGATACAAGCAGCAGAAGAAATATTTAATGTATAGCTAAGCAAGATGAGTAGCTATAGTCCTCTTAATAAGGAATATCTGAAACAATGAGGAATTTTTCAATACTTTAAAAAAAAAACGAAAGCACTAAAAAGCATCTCCACTAAATGGCGACTCTAGCAAAAGTTGATTTTTGCAGGAAACGAATGGACCAAAGACAGTCGTTTCCGTTCCTATTAACTAACATATTCAGAAACTTAAATTTGAAAACTTAGATATCAATACAAATACGAAAAAGTATAAATAAAATATGACTTGTTTATTGAGTTTTGAAAACTAATTTACTTTTAAACTTAAAGAAAACCGGAAAGGTTGTCTTGGAGAAATCAAGAACGTTGCGTAGCGACATCTAGTTTGATTTCGGGAAATAATGTTTTTTTTTACATACTTCCTCATTCTAATTTTGTGATAATTGAAGAAATCAAATAGTTAAATTCTAAAGACTTTGGAATTTTCGTAAAAAATTTTGATACTCATATATTTTTTTTTTCTATTTGCAGATATGGTCCAACAGAGCAGTTGAAATTTGTTGGTATAGAAAGGGAAATGGAGTTTTTATGAGAACAAACCAAACAGTGATCCGAGTGCTAAGTATGTAATGATGACCGCGTTTACAGACACAGCCCATCTGTATCTAAAGCATTTGAGAATCCTTATCTAGTATGTTTCCTTACTATCTAGCATAATCGTCAACCTATTAATTTTTCCACTGCTAGCTAGCTGCCTTCACTTTCCTATCGAATTGAATCGAATAGGGGCTTTATGACTTAGATGTATCAGAATGCCTAATATTAAAAATGAAGTACTCTATAAAATAGAAATAATTGTAAGCAAACAAGAATATGAACACAAAACAATTTGTATTTATGAACTTCAAATAAATTTTTACCTTTGCCATTAATACATTAGTTCTTTAGACAGTTCTGTGTCAATTTGCTTTTAAAGTGAAACATTATTCGCAAATGTCGATATCTACGTAAACGCGAGTTACAACATACTTTGGCACTCAGATGCACAATAATGTGACAACATATATTATCTTAGAATTAAGCGGATGAATTTACATGTCACTCATTGTATTGTTACTTAAAGAGTACATGTTTGCAGGTGTTAAGTTTCAAAATGCTTTTGTGTTGGAATTATAATTTCAGACATTCAGTGTCAAAATACATGCCACACATTCTTCCTAATGTTATTACAATTTTCTGGTCATTGTTTTCTTATTTTGACAAATTACCAATAAACAGAATTTGTTGTTCCTTGTTATTGTTGACAATGAATTTTTCTTTTGCTTATGTGTTTTAGGTTCATTCCAATGAAAACATAAATAATAAGATTCATGCTTATTTTTCATTGTAACAGTACGTTAGAAATACTTATCACTGTGTATAATTGCAAATAACTCAGTAGCTACGTGTGTCGTCATACACGCTGGGTACAAATGTCAAAATTATTGTCACCCTGTTATTTAAAAGATTGGACCCCATTAAAATATCTGTCTATGTTGAAGACCAGACTGTTTTGTATGGCTGGGTAGTTGTCATTGATAATTCCGAGTGCTTTAAACTGCCTACTTTTATACATTATTATGATAATTTGTTTAGAATTAGTTATGTTCTGATGACGATTAAAGTGTAATGTCGGTAAACAGATTTTTATACTTTTAAACTTTTTTAAATAAACATCATAAAAATGTCATATGTTTATTATTTCAATACACAAATAATAACTCTTATATAACAATATAGTAACATTTAATATAACTTTCTAAAACAATGTAGCGTCTACAATACAGTATACAAAATACTTTGAAACACAAAAGTAAACAATAGCACATTGTTGACAAAATGACTATTCACTGAGGTATCACTGGACAAACACTCGGTATAGGATCACTTAATATAAACTTAATTCAGGCACAAATTCAGGGGTCTAAATGCTGACAACCATTGTAATTGGAAAAATATTTATAGGAGGCATAGACACTGGCATCAAAGATTTCATGTCAATAATAAAAAAACTATTTTCAAATTAGTTAAAAGTAGAGGTAGGAATTTATCTGATATTTAATTTATTGATTATTTGGTGTTACATAACCATTACTTAATAAATATATTTTGTTATATGTAACTGTAAATAGGACTTCTTTATACCCAGTTTGGAAGATATGTTAATAATAAAAATAAGACTTAAACAAAAAGAAACATTTCCTGTGAAAAATTATATTGCCTTTTATATTAATAAAGAAATATCAGCCTCAATTTTAAGTTTTCTTTTTACTTTGGTGTTGGTGTTCATGTAAATAACTCCTTTAATGTGTTTATGCCTGGACAATTGTTGTCACTATTGATGTCGCTGAATCAACATTTAATTAAAGGAATTAATGTTTGACATCATTAATACTTTGAAATGCTTCACATTAATCACAGGAGCCATCTTTCCAGCCGTCTCTCCATCTCTCATGAATTTTACTGCAGTCAAATAAGGGTTTACCAAGTTTCCTATTTACAGTGTTATGTCGTTCACACAACCATTGAGCTAAATGATCTCTTGAGTCTGTTTTTGGTGGATGTTTTTTTATGCTACAAAAAATAATAATATTATCAATTTTAGGTGTCCAGTCTTAAGCTAACAAATTTTATACAAAAAAAATGTTATTCATTTCTATCACATCTGTGCAATTGATTTAAAATCAAAGTATTGCTACTTTTAATAAACATAATGATAAAAATAGCTAAATGATGAATTTTCACTATACTTACTCTTCCTGGAAATCGAGAGCACAAGGTTCGCATGGATAGAATTGCGAAAATATATTAAAGAATTTTGACATATCCTCAGCCTGTCTTCTCGTTGGCTTGTCGGGGTAGTAAGATGCCATAGAATGCAGGAAACCCCATGTAGACCGACCCAGATCGTCTTTGTCCAAAGGGCAATCTGCGGGTTTAACAGGGGCCTGAAAATTATATTTCAACTTAAATCTTTAATCACATAAACGAAAACTTTATTGATAAAAAGGCCGATTAAGGTATGTTGACTGTTAGGTTGAATATTCACATGATAACAAAGATAACCTTACCACTTTGTTCGGCGTATTCAATGTGGTTTTGTTTTGAGATTTTGCCCATGTTTTAAAATCGGAGCAAGCACGACAAGGTTTATCTTCATCTTCAGACCGATGAGCAGGCATATTTCATTGAAACTCGAAACGTAATATACAAAAATATGATGCAATGCAACATCAAATATTCAGGGGTCAAGATGCCGCTCAAAATTGTAGAATTATGTTCATTTTTGTAGAGAAGATAAATTTTAACTTTGTCGTTTACTTAAATAGCCTTAAAATAAGTTTCAGAAATTTTCACAGGCTTTTAAAAACTTAGTTTTATTCTCAATTTTAGTGAAAATCATGTCAGTTAATGTCAAATTCATATGACTAATAGGGATGGGAAAAATCGATTGTAGTTTTTGAATAATCGAACATATTAATTGACATAGTGACCAATTTAAAACGTCAATCGATTCATCTTAACCTTGCGAGTGTCACTAAAGACATGACAGTAATCAAAATTCTCCACAACGTCAGCCAGACGCCATATTGTCAAAATGAAAAATAAAAAACCGATGAACTATGTTAAGTGGGGTGTCGTTGAATAGGTATTTTAAAATCATCTTTAAGTTCCTTTTTAACGATTTCAAGTTGTTTAACTAAATAATCATTCTCACTAATTTTCTTAATTATTGATTTAAATTTTTATTTAAAGTATAAACGATATACAAACAAAAAAAAAAAACGGTGAAAAAGCATGAAGAACAATTATTTTTGGAAAAAAAACAACTTTTTTGCTTAAGGTCAAGCATATGCAGCTTAGAGCCGAATTAGGTGTCAATCATCATTAGTATTGTGGCACATCTGTTTTATAATCTTTGTCGACCACTCTGTGGCAACGTAATCTATGATATTTTGTATTTTGTAAGTGGCACTTCAACATCAAATAGACTTCCATAGCAACTCATCGTAGCAAACGCAATGTAGACTTCACGCTAGTAGTAAAGTGATAAGAATATGTAACGATTTGCGTTTCTTTTATTTTGTATGATTATCAATTAGTTCTTTTACGACGTAGTTTTTTAAATATTTTTTGTTAAAATTATTTATATATAAAATCATTATTTTTTTTTGTTTTTGCCATTAATCCCTATGATTTTCTAAGGGGGGAGGACTGTGGCACATCTGTTTTATAATCTTTGTCGACCACTCTGTGGCAACGTAATCTATGATATTTTGTATTTTGTAAGTGGCACTTCAACATCAAATAGTCTGAAAGTAAACTCATAACTGTGAACACGTTTATTTATTTTACCGATCCTTCGTATAAATAGAGTCAGATAGTAAACTTATCAATAAGTTAAATATCAACCTATATATTAATAAACTAGCCTTCGCTTGGTTGCCCCGGGCTGCGAGCAGCCCGGGGAGGTAACGAGTAGCTGGTGGAATCGGGGCGGTGGGGTTTCAAGTCCGCCTATTGTTATGTCGGGTTTAGAGTTTGAAATTGCGTAGAAAAGGTCAGGAAGTTCTATCTTCAAATAAAAGGTGTTAAAGGACACAAAGCACAATACATCAAAGAAAAAGTGTTGCCAGTTGACACTTAATAGAAAAAGAAATATTCAGTCGAAAAACGCAAGCAAAACTTAAAATAAATTTTGTATAGATACTTAAAATAAGTTTTGTCTTTTATTCTCTTATTCTTATTTATTAGTAAATTACTGTATAATATTAAAAAACAATCGAACATATATTTCCATCAGTGTTACTATCATTAATTAATCAATTAAATGTCAATTGCATTATTACATTACATTATTTATGTAAAATTTATTAATTATATGAAAAGGGAACCGATGTCGTGGCCAGATATTAGAATAGATTAATTCACGACGCGATGGGGTTTTAAGTCCGCCTTCGTTTCAGAATAGAAGCTTTCGCTTGGTTGCCCCGGGCTGCTCGCAGCCCGGGCAAGTCACGAGTAGCTAGTGGAATCGGGGCGGTGGGGTTTTAAGTCCGCCTCCGTTGCAGAATTTGAGTTTTTCGTTTTTTTTTGTTGTTTGTTTTATAGTTTGAAATCGCCTAAAAAAGTTAGTAAGTTCTGTCTTCAAATGAAAGGTGTTTAAGCACCATACATCAAAGAAAAAGGGTTGCCAGTTTACGCTTAACAGAAAAAGAAATATTCATTCGAAAACGCAAGCAAAACTCAAAATAAGTTTTGTGCAGATCAGCTTGCAGTCTTTTATTCTCTTATTAAAATTCAATAGTAAGTTAATATTTATTTAATACAGACAGATATTGGGGTTTAAGTCCGCCTCTTGTTATGGTGGGTTTACAGTATACAATTGCCTAGTAAAAATTAGTAATTTCTATCTTCAAATTAAAGTTGTTTAAGTACACAAAGCATCATACACTCAATAGAAAATGAAATATTCAGTCGAAAAACGCTAGATAGGATTGTAGTATTTTACACTCATATTCTTATTCAATAGTAAATTAATTTTTAGTATTAACAACAACAATCGAACATATATTTCCGCAAGTGTTACTATTATTAATCATTATTTATATTTTAAAACTTGGAATAAATACTCTATATCCCTAAACTTTGCGAAAAGATGTGTGCGTTTATTGAAACTATTTAACAGAAATTAAGTTACAATATCAAATTAGTTTGAATAAAAAAGACCATAATTTCTCATTACTCTAAAAGTATAGAAAATTGTACTTTAAGTAATAATTATCGTGTCAAAAGTTGGAAAAATTTGGGAAACGAATGATCCATATACACGCTATATATAAAGCTTCCGAATTGTCTAGTGAATTAAAATCAAATCTGAAATTAAAATGGTAACTGCGCGGGCTGGATTGCTCATAGTCAGTATTATAAACCAAATGTTACCATCTGTGACGATTTTACTATCTGTCTATCTTAATCCAAGAATTAAAAAAAAAGAATAATATTGTAAAACAATTTAAAAATAATCAAAATATAAAAATATATATTTACAATACTCTCAAACTTAATTGAATCTGCATACAATAACATAATTACAACTTAAAACTAAAATTAAAACAAGCAAAATATTATAAAGAAAAATAATAAATTCAATAGGCACAGTCTGGGCAAAACTGTTGTATACTCAGTAAGTCTATTGTTCATGCGCTTGCGCATTGCCGACCGAAGCGGGAAACCGGTTCTCCAACAAAACGCGGGGGGCACAATTGAGATACGACCGCAGCGACAGGACACATTGTCGTCACTTACATTATTTCTCACTAATTACTGTCTCCTTGATTGTGAATTTTTGATTTAGTCATCTACAAATATAGTTTATGTGTTTATTCCCCATATTGGGTAAGTGTTGAAAGACTTATATTCACTTTTGCTGTAGTTTTGGTACATATTGGAAATGCATTGTCATTAAAGGTTACCTTCACCAATTTAGAAAGTTATTATTACCATTAATTCATTTAAATAATCACTATAGATTGTGTGTGATTCGCTTTATTGTTGAATTGTATACGTACTTAATTAGTTGTTAGTGCTTAATATGTTTTCTTATAATTGAGCGACCTTCATCGTCAACCTTGTAATTATGCCTTTTGCTTTAAACTTTAAAGTGTAGTAATTAGTAATAGGTTCGTAATAGTATTTCGTGAGATCTCATCTACATCATTATAGACGTTGATTATAAACGTATTGCAAATAAATGGATCTCACGAAATAATATTTTTTTATAGTTAACTACCTACTTATGGTTTTATTCATAAGTAAAGTAATTTTATTGCTAAACTTGTATTGTTTGTCTGCCTCATCATTGATATCTATTTATGCTAGTCATTTCATCTGCACTGAAAAACTCCATCTCACACCGCTTGCAGTATCATGATGTTGCAGTCAGACTATAAAACTGAATAGTGTTGAAATGTCTGGTTTTGCACTATTACAGGGACCTATCCTCTGGCAGGGTAAAGAAAGGTCTGGATTGTGCTACACACGTTATTCGGGAAACCTTTACTTCTGCACCAGCCGTGTCTGTATTACTGGGACCAGTGACCGGAGATCTGCAACGTGCGATATTATCTGGATTGCCAGGACAGTGGTGACCAAGAATCTGCTACGAGACGGTTGCTTAATGTCACGGACCCACACCCTAAATTTTCAATATTTCTTTAAATTTAATTTTTATAAAACTATTTTGGGGACCTACCCTCTTGTACGTAATTAAATAAGTTATCATATCTGATATAGTCTATTTAATTGGCTTAACCGCCACATTGGCGCCTGACTGCAGGTAACATTAGCAACCGAATCGTGTAGTTGATTTCTTTTGCATTTAGTAGTTATCTCTGGTGTTGGCTTTTAGCTTCTAAGTGTGTGTTGTTCTGTCTCTAATTTTAGTTAGTAAGTAATAAAAACTATATTGTTTATTTCACCTTGTTCATTCATATATCATACGCTTTTTTTGTAAACTGTGTGCTATTTCGCTGCTTATTTTTTTGGTGACGTTGAAAATTTTTCTTCTTCTTTCAACATTTACCCAAAGTTGTGGTGCTCATAATTATGTCGTATCCAATTAAGTTTCTTTCTTTGCAAAAGGCCGAACTACAATACGAAGTTGAACTTCGGGGTGGCGTAGGTGAATCAGTGCAGGAGCTTCGGAAGGAAATAGTTAAATTAGCTGTGTTATTACCTTCTGAAGATATCTTAGAGTCTCATTTAAACCCAGCCGATGATTTGAAACAAGTTAAGGAATCACTTATAAAATCACTAAGCAACCTAAATATATTAAAAACTAAATTTGACAAAAATATTTTTAATAGAACAGAGAATCTTTTGTACCATGTATACCATAGATTAAATAGAATTGTTGTTACATCAGAGATTAATGATGTATATAAAAGCTGCACTACAAATTTAAATGCTCAACTTACAGAACTAGCTTCTATAAAACCTCAGACCTCTCAACCTAAACCTATTGCCGTACCTGAGCACATCTCCGACTCTGCGATTTCTACAGTAGTAACCTGTGAACGCAATTTGTTTACCGAAATCACCAAATTAAAATATTCGGGTTCAACTTGCGTTCATGCCTTTATACAAAAAGTTGAAGAATTCATACAATCTAGAGGTATATCTCACGAAAAACTTTTATCTGTGGCTTTTGAAATTTTTACAGATGACGCGTTACATTGGTATCGTTACAATAAAAATAAAGTTAACACTTGGGAAGAATTATGTATTTTGCTTAAAGAAGATTTTAGTAGCAGTGATTATGACTATCGTTTATCCAATGAAATTCGTTCACGCACTCAGGGTGACCAAGAAAACATAACCATATATTTATCGATTATGCATGGCATGTTTTCAAGATTAGCCAAACCAATATCTGAGGAGGA